GGCTGGTGCTTCGGGATTTACTCCGTAAATCTATCACGCAAGCCGATAATGCGAGACGTTCAGACGCTGCTATCTATTTAGCGGCGAATGCCTCTCGATATCTGCGGGAATGAAACGGCAGGGGGGGGGGAGGCCGCGACAGGACACGAGACAACCGTGCGCGCGCGCGCGCGCCGAAAAGGAACGCGAGGGAGGGAGGTCGGAGATACTACACCCGCTCGATATTCTCGTTTATCTCGTCAATCGCTCAAATCAGACGTATATGAGATGCATCGTTTTGATGCGCGTGATATTTCCAGCCGTTGACGTAATTGTTATACACATCGAATGTACAATTTCGCGAGCTCTCTCTCTCTCTCTCTCTCTCTCTCTCTCTCTGCTCGCTCGAGATATCACTCTGTTCCGATGAAATGGATTACGCGAAGCTGTCAAATTAATCGGTATCAATTAACGCGGAATTACATATTCGCGCAACATCCTTTCCAATTTTCCGCGACGGTGGCCGGCGAGAGGATGTGCGACGCGCGAGATAACGCGGAAAAATGTATGCCGCGCACGAGCCCGGCGTTGACCCGGGACGGTTAACGTAACTTGTTTCCCAAATAAACCGTGCTTTGCGTCGGACACGTACACTTTTCATTCGTGCAATCTTTATACTCGTACTCTGACCTTTCGAACCGTAGAGGAAAAATCCCGGCCGAATCGCAAATTGGGTTCACGTTTCAGTGACCAATGAGCAGAAAACGTCCTCGCGGACATGATCCGCGCAAGCGCGTCCTCGTATCCACGGCGTACAAGAGATATCGGAATTCGAAGGAGGAAAAAGCGACAGGGGTGAGTTGCGCCGCTCCGCTTCGCTCCGCTTCGTTTCGCTCCGCGCCGCGCCTTGCCGAGCTGCATCATACACTTACGGCTCCTTTGACACACTTTGAGACACAGCGGCGGCGACGCAATGTAAAAACAATACGACGGCTCTCTTCTAAAGCTTTGTCAGCCGACTCTCCCCCTTTTGCCTGAGCGCTACGCGTCACTCTCGTCTACGTACGACGTAGCGGGAGAGCCTCGCCTCGTCGCTCATACGCGTCGAATGTTTGTGTCACATGCGCAGATATTACATGTATCATTGAAAAACGCACTCTCGAGAGAGCGCGCGTCACGCGCAGCGGGGCGAGAGCAAAAACTGCTGAAAATTCATGGGGACGCCGCGCCGGCCGAGCCGAAGATGGACGGTGTCGGGTCGATTATTGCGAATAGAACACGCCAGCGTTGCTTTTGCGCCAAAGTGTGATACGTCGAATTGTTGTTTGATAGAAAGCTCTTACGCGCGAGAATCATGCAGACACACGTACATATCCGCGGAGAAGCGAGAGAGAGAGAGAGAGAGAGAGAGAGAGAGAGAGAGCGCGCGCGCGCGCGCGCGATGATCCGACGTCAATGATCTCGCGTGAGAAGGGGAGAAGGAGGAGAGACGGGCAACATTAAATGCAAGCCGTATGTATGCCGCGAGAATTCGTGCATTATACAGGAAGAACGAATGCGCGCTAAATAAGTGTGCACGAGCACGCGCGCATATCGACGTGGTGCGCGGTGCGCCAGTGGGGAACGACAATGTGGAATATTGCTCGGTTTTTGCTCTTTGAAAGGCAAGCACGTGGCTACATACGTACATCCTTCTTGACAACGTGCGGGAATTTATGCATCGAACGACGCGGCGCGGTCCGAGTAAAGAGGAGGACGACGACGTGCATACACGGTGCGCGACATTTCCGATGACGATGTCGCTCGTAGATAATTCGTGCATCCCTGAACTCTCGCGTGTATATCGCGAGCGCGTTTTCGCGCGTTCTGAAAAGTTTCCCGGCATCGGAGCTGGCAATGCTGGGATACTTGGTGAAAAATTCAACGGCTCCTCGCGAAGCGAGGCCGATTCATTCGTAATGAGGAGGAAGGTGTGCGGTAAGATTAGTGCGCGCGTTCGAGACGGCGAAATCGATGTCGTCTATCAATTAAAATTCTAATCCCACAACCACGGTAATATCCCGCGTTAGAGACTTTACGCGCGATATCAAACGTCAAGCCGCGCAGGCGGTTTATTATCATCCCCTCGGAGCAATTCCCAATTTCGATCTCTTTCCCTCGTTGAACGGATACATCGGAGTCTGAGCCACGTCAAATCGTATTTTAAACCGCGTTGCTCGCTAGGTCGCGCCGGTCTCTAAATAATTCATTCCATGAATTATTTCGGTTCCTATTCCCGACTCGCAACGAGGATCGATCTCTTTGATCGGCTGTAGCCCTGTTCGCCGTCGCGCGGCACTTTGTCGTCCTCTCGCGCGCTCGTTCTCTCCCTCGTGCATTCGCTCTTTCTGTCTCACTAACGCCCCGTCGTTTCCTTCGACCATCCCGTAATTGTGCTCGCTGCATATTTCAGCTATCCAATCGCCAGTTTTTTTTTTTGCATCCTTCCTATAGATTTCATATAAATGAGCGAAACGATCTCTCTCTCTCTCTCTCTCTCTTTCTAGCTCTCATTTTTTTTTCAACCCACGAGACCTAAAGATATACGAGAACATCGCTTTATAGCGATTGAATATTTCCGTTTCTCGAAATAAGCAAGCGGGAGCAAGCGGCTTTATTTTATTCGGATGCCCGGGAAAACCTACATTATATGTAAACGTAGCTTTCAGCGTTCGGGAACGGATTATAGAAGCTCGCGTACGCTGCTTCTTAATCCGGGGATTTCGAATGAAATATTTGGTAGATGCTATCGGGCAGTGACGCGACCGTTCGCTCCAGCGTGCATTTAATCCCGGTACGAGCATGGTCTCGAATCGATTTGAAATCTAGGTCGAATTCGGCTTAGTGGAATTGATTTCTCCGGTTTCTCGGTTGCGAACAATGTATACGTCGTGGGGTTTAGACCGGCTTCGCGAATCAGGTCGTTCCGCCCGCTTCGACGAGACAAAAGATAAAATTCTATCCGCGGCGCTTACCAACCAACAAATCGAATAATCGTCCCAACATCGAGTTTAATCCACGGACAAATCCTGACCGGAGCCATCGTCGGCCCCGAGAGCGCCTTTGCCGTGCGAAGAACTGGACTGACGGATTGATTTTCAGATAGCGCTAATATACGTAATGCACTTCTCGGAACAGAGGAACACACAGAGTTGTTTGTCGTTCGCGACAAACGCGTGATGCCCGCCGCTAAATGCCCGCCGCGATGTCCGCTAGAATTTTCCGATAAAATCGCGGATGAAATTAATCGACGATGTTTTTCACCTTCAATCTTCGACTTTGCGTCGCTGAGGCGCCGACGCTGCCCGTTCTTCAACGTCGAAACTTTAATCCTTTAACGCCTACTACAGTTAAATACTTAAATGTGCATGCTATAAATACTTAAATGCGTTTCTGGTAACTATAGTTACCAGAAACGCATTTAAGAATTCATAATTTAGTGAAAAAAGGAGATACTTTCGTTTTCTTTGCACCACTGTAAAGGTGAATTCTTCTTCTAGAAAATGGTATACAGATTGTATGTAGATTCGGTTTAGTCTGTTCAGTTCAGCTCAGTTTTAATGATAACATGTCAAATTTTGTCAAATTCCAAGTAGGCATAGCCTAGCATCGTTAATAGAAGTGCACTATAAATGAACAGATTGGTATCTGTTATAATTTTATACATTTGGAAGCTTTCCCAGATGCAAAATGTGAAATTAAAAGAATACAGAAATTCAAAATGGCGGATCCAAGATGGTGGACACGAAAATCACGAAATCAACCTGTTTTCGTGAAACCTGGTGACCTATAGTTTTTTATGCGGCCAAAAATGAAGGGACGATTGACTATCTAAATGGTGATCTATAAAATATTCTCCCGAAATAGTAAGCTTGACGCTCTGAATGGTAAACTTCACTCACAGATATAGTAAAGTTTCAGCTCAAAAATGTCAAGCTGACTATCAAAGTTATGGCGCGATTACGATGAACTTTACGTAACGGGACGCGACAGGACGTGAAGTGACGTGACGTGAATTTGACGTTTGAGGTTATATTTGATATTACGATTCATTCACCGTAACGCGCCGTAATAATGAATTCTGCTGTGAGGCATTATCAATTTGTAAATTTAATTTTGGCCGGGTATTTGTATCTTCAACTGTGGAAGAGGAAACGAATACGAATCATTGGTGTGAGAGATATTTTTCGAAGAAGAATTCAGTTTGGTGACGGACGGGCATAACTTGGCATAACGTTGATTGGCTGAAAGTGTCACATGAACAGTCCGACTTGACGGAACGCAACATCTAAACTTGACATTGGCAAGCTTCACGTCGCGTTAAGTTCCGATATTTCACGTCACGTTACGTAAAGTCGATCGTAACTAGCCGCATATAAAACAATGTGTTTTAGGTTTTGTGTCACTTCACGTTCCGTCGCGTCCCGTTACGTTAAGTTCACCGTAATCCCGGCCTTATGTTATATAGATTACCCTTCACTTTTCTCTGCATAGGTTGCTCATTTCGTATATGCTTTTAGGATCCAATTCATATCTACCAATAAACAAAAACGAACGATAAAAAAAAAACCAAACTAACGAAACCAACAAACGAAAAGCGGAAACTTCATGTACTCATTTATTCAGAAGGTAGTTTTTCGTAGATATAAAATTCTGATGTTTCTTTTGGTTATCACTACTTATAGCCTCAATTAAAAAAACCTCAAATTTTATTCTTAAAACACTTATAAAAAAGTCGGGCGTTGAAGGGACGTTAAGTGACCGTCACTCGGACGAGTGACGGACGCAATTGTCGAGACCGAGTAATTCCTGGTAGATAATAGACTTCTTCACGTTCGAGCGGACGAAAGACAATATAAGTTGGAGCCAAGTTGGAGTTAATTGCACTTGATCGTGCCTCGGTTACCGGTCGACGTGTTACCGAGACACCGCAAAACCAGCGTCATTGCGACACCAACGAACGGATTCCGCTTTCGTTTCAGGGTGCAGCGTGAAATTTGCGCTTGGTCAGCAGGGCCCGGTCTTCGTCCTGGAACCGCCTAGCACCCTGGTCTTTTCAAATACCACGGGTTCTCAATTGGGCTGCTCCGCGCACGGCAGCCCGACGCCGCACGTCACGTGGATTACTAGCCCAGATCAGAGATCGGTTACGGCAGTTCCGGGACTCAGGTAAATCACACTTCGTAAATCACGGCCTCCGTGAACGGTCACGTTCGTGTCGGGTCACTTTCACGTTAATCCCGTCCCGCGAAGATGTTATTCGCTCGAATAACGTCGGAGCACTTCTCGAACGCTGTCGCGCCGCGCGACAGCGTTCGATCTCGCGTGAAATCGCATGCTTCCTCTTTTGTTTGTCTTGCCGGCGAACGGAATCGACGGAATCGCGTTTGTATATGTTGTATTTTTCAGGCAACTTCTGGGCAACGGGACGTTATACTTTCCGCCGTTCTTGGCTCAAGACTTTCGAGCGGAGGTGCACAATGCCCGGTACAGATGTCGTGCGACCAGCTCCGTTGGGACGGTACTTTCTCGCGAGGTCACCCTTCGCGCCGGTAAGTTATTTCACACGTCTTACCGCTTCCGAAAGCGAAAGCATAGTCATGTAGACTTGCGCGAGAACCTGTGAGAGAGATCTTTCTTTCTTCGGGGTCTTTGAAACGTTATTTTTCGCAAGATACGATGTTGTACGAACGAGCGCGCGAGATGACGCTCTGTCGGTTTGGCCGAGCGGTTTGGCGCTCGGAGAATTTACTTTCGTTAGGGTGAGTCTGGGATAGATGGACATAGTTTTTTTAATTGCAAATAACTCATCTGTATTAGTGCAATAAATGGTCAATAACGTATTGACACATTCAATAGAGGATAATGTTTAAGGTATAGAAGAGTTTTTGTGGAAAAAAATTCATGGGACGCCAATAATAACGAAATATTAAAAATATTCTGTGTGAGGGATAGATGATCAGGTGTCCAGGCTAGATAGTCATATGTTAAAGGATAGTTGGGCATACGTTATCTCTAATGGTAATTAATTTTCAAACACAATGTCGTTTTAGTCGTTTAAGCGCTCAGGTCTAATGCTCGTAACTCAAAATAAACCGTATTCGCAAGGTATTATTCCGACATGTGAAACATTTTGGAGGTTAATAGAAACATAAAACATTTATTTGTAATATATTTATTTATAATATTCATAATAATACAGTGTTTTTGTGTATCAGGAAGAAACACACCTATTCGTGGTACATCTAACTCCGATTGATCGATCGGTGTTGACAAATTTGACATTTAATGTTAGGTACGAGGGTAGTTCCAGAAGTACCTGACCTAACAAAGAAAACACAAAAAATTTGGGAAAAAATATCTTTATTTCTCTACATAGTCTCCTTTTAGCTCAATTCACTTTTCCCAGCGATGTTCAATAGCTTCGATATCCTGTTTATAGTGGAAATCGTCGAGCTCCTCAAAATAGCCATCAAGCCACCTTGGTCCATTGTTTTGACTGTTCCTTCGTCTCAGGTGTGAAGTGATGGACCCATGTTTCATCCATGATTATGAATCGACGCAAAAACTCGGCTTTATTGCTGCGAAACTTCGCCAAACACTCGATTGAAACATCCTCACGACGCTGTTTTTGTTCCAATCGCGGCACCCATCTTGCGCGCAGCTTCTCATGTCCAAATTTTCAGTTAGTATGCGATGTACAGCACTTTTTGAAATGCCTACCATGTCTGCTAACTCGCGCACTTTCAGTCGACGGTCATCCAGTACCATTTGTGGATTTTCTTCACCATTTCTGGCGCGGTCACCTCATTTGGTCGACCACTGCGATGTTCGTTTTGGCAGCTCGTACGGCCTCGTTTAAACTCTGTCACCCAATATTTTACTGTTGTAAACGAAGGAGCAGACTCCCCCAGAGTAGAATCTAGCTCCGCTTTGATATTGATTGGACTGAGGCCTTTCAAATGAAACTATTATATCACATAACGATGACCAATTTTTTCCATGTTTACAAATTCACTGACAGCGTTCACTATTGATGGCTGCCAAACAAATACTAAACAACGTAGCGTCGTCAAACTTCAAACTTAAGCTTTATAAGGTTGGTACTTTCTACCATAGTCATTCTTTTCAAACAACAACCACTATCTATACGTCAGGTCAGGTACTTCTGGGACTACCCTCGTACCAGGGAAAAATGACAGTCGAATAGATATATATATATATATATATCTAGAAAATATCGATCCGATGTCCATTGCTTGCTATTTCTCGCTAAGTAGGCTGCCCATCTAATCCTAAAAAAAATGGACCATCTATCCCCGTTTGGAGAGTTCGCGTAAAACCGCGTAGTCTCGGTGACGAATTTCGAGATTAAATATGAAAATATGTTTTTTTAGTCGTTTAAGCTCAGGTCTAATGTTGTAACTTAAAATAAACCGCTTTCGCAAGATATTTTTCCGACGTATGAAACACATTTTTGATATTACTAAAAACATAAAATATTTATTTACTCACAATAGCAGTGTTTCTGGGCATCAGGATGAAACATACTTGCTCGTGGTACATTCAACTCACAACTGACCGATCAGCTAGCATATATTAACAAAATTATAGCAATTGACCATCTATCCTCTATGCCCGTTATCCTGAACTTATCCTACATTTCTGATCCGAAATATGTTGATCCGAAATACTTTGATCGTTACTCGCCGAATGTTCTTTAAATTATCAAGCCGATCAGCTCGCAGTTATGCGATAAAGGAAAGGAACAGAGAGAGAAAGAGAGAGAGAGAGAGAGAGAGAGAGAGAAAATGAATGAGAACTAGATATCGCGAATCGACAGTCCGCTGATGCGGCCGATATTCGGGATAATCGTCATTTATCGAAGAAACGTCACCCTCGTTTCTCTCGCGCGGGATTCGTCGCAATAACGGACTGGAAATACCGAACATCCCATTACGTCGGAGTGCTAGCTGGCGAACGCGGAGCCAACACCTCGCATTTTCAACCGAGAGGCTTCATGCTATCCAAGTAAATACCGAAGGGGAAACGGTTGAAAGCCGTTAAATTGTATCGGAGGAAGTTCGATTCGAATACCCGGGCGGATCTTTGCCGCACTTGAGGGCCGAAGGAGGGACAAAACTTTGTCCGGCCAACGCTACGTGAGCCATCATTTAAATGGCTGATTTTAAACTGGTCATTACCACTGGCGGCAGCGCTGAATTCGCCGACGTCCGCTACACGCTGCACAACTGCAATTGCGAAAGAATCCTTCTTTCGTTTTCGTTTACTCTCGACCCGAATTCCCAAGTGCCCGAGGATAATACCTCGCGAGAGTCTCTGATGTAACAGCGCTAATTATATCGCGAGGGATTATCTTTAGACATTAGCGATATTGATAATGTTTCATCTTTCCAAGCTCCATAAAATTAAACGAGAATAAAACTTGGAAATACTTTCTAGGTCAGGTGTGCAATAGATATGCTCCCGAGCGTCGCATCGAGACGCGAATTCAGAAGGAAAAAGCGAGAATTAACAAGAACAAAAACAAGATTTAAAAACTCGAGTGGTAATTTGGGGGCAACATTATTTAATCTTTCAGCTGTGGCGATTGAGAATCGTCCGTTGTATACGGTACGATATCTTCTTGTCGCGTCACCGAAATCAGATGCTTGAATAATCACTCACATGCTTCATTTAAGGTGTTAAATATACAATATGAAATAAAAGGATATATATATATACGCCTGTGGTATACTATATATTGATATGGACATGTCAGGGCGTATACATATATTCGCCTTTAGCAGTTAAAGGGTGCGTCGTAGGGAAGTCTTTTCTTTTCTGATATCTTTTCTGATATCGTGAGACGATAAAGTCAAATACTAGATCGCGGACGAATAATACCGCAGATAGATGGATAGGAGGGATCGGTTGCACGGAGAAAGTGGAAAGGTGGAGCGAGCTTGCACGCTTGTTCGCTTTTTAGCCGTCGCGTGTAACCTTTTAAATGGGTAAACATTGATCGGTTTCGCGAAGCTCTAAACTTACGTTGCACTTAGGTTGCTTGCTTTCCCAAGGATATTTTCATGACGCGTTTTCAGCGAGCGCGAGAGGAAGCGAAGAAGACGTCGATTTTGCGGGAATAACTGCGGCTATAAATCACGGAAAGTTTAGCGTCTCAAAAACTCGGTCGGTCCGGTACGCTTAGAACAATAGATGGGGGATGTCGGCGATGCGGTGTCATGTGATGCATGAAAAGGTTCCCTCGCGAGGTATCGACGAGCTTTTAGCTCGCCCAACAAAACTCCGCGTGTCAAACAGCGCGCGCGCGCGCGGGCCTGTTATCGTTTATTTCAATGCACTTTGTAGCCGGCCGCGTAACAAAACCGACGTGTTTGTCGTATTTCGCGAGGTACACAAATTCGAAGAAATTGCGAAAGAATCCAAATACTCTTTGATGCCAGCCCAAAGGCTGCCTGTCTTTCCTTTCAAAGCCGCCTCATGTGAAGCGCGACGGAATGCGCTCCAGCCGTCGGAAAACTTTAAGCGGAAAGTTTTTCAGGGATGATTCGACTAAAACGGGAAGAAAAATTCGCTTCGCCGCTAGTGGTTTCCGAAAGTTTCCCCCAAAGTCACTGGACGATGAAAGAACGTCCAATCGATACCTCTTTGCACCGCACCGTCCTCAACCCGCGTGGATCGCCTACCGATGCTGCCGCTATAGAGACTTTTTTCTTTTTTTTCTTCTTCTTCTTCTTCTTCTTCTTCTCCTTCTCCTTCTTCTTCTATCTCGTCTTGCCAGCGCTTTCGTTAAAAGTTTACAGTCCGCATCGAAGTATAGGCATAAATAATCAAGCTATTCTGCCCGCGCTTTCCGGGGAAAACAAGTTTAATATGGTCCCAAGATGACGAATGACGTTGGTTCGAACATAAATTGAGAATGTTTTCCCAGCGAATCTTGTTTCTCCAAAATAAGACAGGAATCCAGAGGAAAGCGATATTATTTTATTATTGATATGTCTATTCCTTATGTCCCTTACTTTAATTCTTATCAGCATAATGTGTTAAGAAACGATCAGCGATCTGATTATCATCATAGATATGAAGGAGGAGATGCTATATCGTTATTATCATCTACTAACATGTATAATCAAAATGTCCGGGTAAATGAAGAAATCACGCTTAACAAAATGTTTTCAAGCCGCGTAAGTATCTCGCCATTTCACAAGAATTTCAAAGGACGAGAGAGAGAGAGAGAGAGAGAGAGAGAGAGAGAGAGAGAGAGAGAGAGAGAGAGAGAGAGAGAGAGAGAGTGAGAGACGAATGTGCAACAAATATGCGTTCCGCCGCTCGAAAGTTAATTACTATTCGTGAGTGAGCGTGCGACATGCGCTCATTAATGCGACGTGCAAGTTCAAGATTATCTAAGATCCCATCTTCCCCCTCTCATGGTCTCACTTTATTCCCTTCTATACGCAAAAACATCCGCCAAGGAGAACCTTCTAGCGGCGCTGCCTCTGAAACGAGCGAGCCGAAAAGGAACGGTTCACTTATCTAAAATGACATCGGCCGTCCCCACGTGCTCGCCAAAGGACTTATGCTCCAAGAGAGAGTCATTGTCGAAATCCCCTTTTGTAAGGACCGCGTTTTCCAACGAGCTCGGGAATTCGGTACCAACGTGTCCAGCCTTCGCTCTCCGGCGAGAAGAACACTCCCAGGGGTGGGATCTAACGGCGAAGGGAATATTCATTATCCAACGTTACACCGACGACGCCGAGCACGGTAGCATGGAGAATAATGCCTGAAGAGGTGTCGCGTCTTAAAAATTTAAAAGGGGATGTATTGCACAGGGGGTTTAACCTTTAGCAGGAGAATAATTGTCGGCCGGATGACGCTCGCCATGCCGCTCGCTTAATCTCTAAATTTCTTCTCTTCTCCTTTTTCTTTCTTCTTTCTTTCTTTTTTCTCTCTTTTATCAAGTGATTTCATTACGGCAGGCGTACGAGAAATGCGTATAACGACCGTGGTACCTTGTATTTTACATACTTCGCATTCTCCCATGATTTCTCCCGTAGAAAAATCGCCCCGGGGGCATTTAACATCGGAAAATATCGGGATTTAAATAAAACATCTTGAGTTGAATTTTACCTCGTAAGCATGAATAAACAATGGAGCCTCATCTTTATGCAACAAATGTAAATCAAGACTTAAATTTCAAAAAATTGAAAATCTGTGTCTCGTACGGAGCTTTATGTCGGAGCTTCATTGACTCGAGACAAATTAAAACGAGTGTTTTAATTGTCTCGATAAGGAAAAGCAAAACTAAAAGCGTGTAAAACTAAAATCGTGTAAAAACGAACGTACACGCACGTGTGGCTGTGTGTGTGTGTGTGTGCGTATGTGTGCAAATTGGACTACTCGTACTCGCGTGCCCTATCATATCTTACATTTTGATCCCTTGAAATTTGTATACTGGATATTTATTCGGTCCTGCTTCGCGACGAAACCGTATTTCTCCATACACGCGTCGACTATAGATGCTATAGGAAAGAATTATTGCACACCGCACGGTGAGAGATCACCCGTTTCCGTAGACGGACGATTCTCTAGCGTACCGCTCTTACTCTTCTTTATTTTCTCCATTTTATCAACGGGGGTGCCAGACTAGAGAAAGAACGTAACCGCATTAGCAACCCGCCACTAGTCGTCGAGAAATGGTCCTGGACGGAAAAAAGGTCCACCCTTTCGCACGACAAATGTTTATATATGTGTAATTCCGACAAAACGGTCGACAACTTTAATCACGTGGCTAAAGCACGTTTTTGGGTTTAAGAAGAACGCCCGGAAGGAATGCCCGGCGCGATAACGAGATACGAAATTTGCAGCAAAATAGTAGAGCGTAATTAAAGAATCGTTATTGTGTACATCTAGTCTATAAATCCACAAACACACACACACACACACACGCACATACATCCACGCGATAGTGTTCTGGACATTAAACACGATTTGTAGCGCGGTAAACAATTTTTCAAATGAATCTCAGCCTTCCTAATGTTCCTCCTAATTTTCCCCGCGACTCGCGTGATATTTGTATATATTTTTCACAAATCCCTCCCACTCCCCCCCTCTCTCTCTTTCTCTCTCTTTCTGAGACTATATATATAGTGTCGCGGCATAAGTGGCAATACACCCGCCGTCCCGACGAAAATCCATCTCCGGCAGAGAAACTCGGTTTTAAAAGTCCACCGACTCACCACGGAATCCCGTACAAGCATAAGTTTCGGAAAACACGCCCGTGGCGGCGGCGGCGACGGTGGCGGCGGGGGCGGCGAGGGCGGCGGGGGCGATGCGTCGATACGCCACGGTGCACGTGCATTTTCACGCTGCATCAGCGCGTAATAGTCGGCGGGTGCGGCGGTATCAGAGATCCGGCGTGAGGGATCACACAAGGTGGAACGGGGTCGGGATCAGACGAACCCGAGCCGAGAAGAGAGGAGCAAAGTTAATTCCAACGATTTCTAGGAATTCGCGGAAATATCGTTGCCCGCCTCGCTGGAGATCCGCGCATATTGGCTTTATTTGCACATTTCGTTTCACCCCGCTCGCGCCGTACCCGCTCCCGTTCTACACCACCCCGCGCGCTCCCTCCCGCCGGCGCATCTCAATTTTATCGTCACGTACGTGGCCCTCGCCTGTGCTCTTGCCTAGCCCCCTATCCTCCCCGGCCCCGATTCACGGACGACGTCTAAGGGGGTGGAGGATGCCTGGCGTCGGGACGCCAGCCGAGGAGCTCCCAATTTCCGACGCCCAGACGACGAAAAGGATGGAACGCTGCGACCCTCCCCCTCCCTCCTGCTCCGCTCCCGAAACCTGCCCGTCCTCACGTCCTCGCGCGCGCGGTGCAGTCCCTTCGTCTCGCAACCCTCACCACTACGGGGCTTTTCTCGTTTCGCGTCTTCTCCTCGACGTACATCACCCTCGCCCGGTGCGGCACCCTCGCACGCACGTTCGCCGTGCTTTTTAACCACCCCGTCTCTCTCGTGTTGCCTCGCCGTGCACTCGCGCGCTATCGGGGAAATCGCGCGCGCGTTACAGCGGCACGAATGTTTACGGACGAATCCGTGGGGTGCCCTCGCCGATATTTGAGAAACGTGAATTTTTCAGTGAGTTTAGCTCTCCGCTGCACGTACGTTCCGGATTAGTCTGTATATGTGTATGTGTGCGCGCGCGTGCTCTACAAGTGCTTCCTCACAATCGCGCAGCAACGTGCGAGAGATACGTCTAATCCGTCAAATCGTAATCGAAAATGTCCGTCGCGCGAATGTCGCGCAATATGCGGCGCACGTTGTCGTATTAAAACCGACGGGACGCGTGTTCTATTAGAGACGGGACGATGTTTCTAGATTAGATTCGATCTCTCTAAAATCGGTCGACGAGGAGGTGACACGTTTCAAGATAACTAGTGCGACATCTGATGTAATAGGATTATGAGTTTACCACATTCGCTTAGCGATTACATGGTTAATGTAACTAAAGATGCAAATGCAGGAAATTAATCGCACACTTTGTGCCAACATTCATTACAGCGGAATGTGTGAGTAGGATGTGTATATGTGCAAGCAGGTGTGTCCCTGGAGAGCGAGGATATGCGACCTAAGCGCTGTTCCCGACATCGCTGTTACATATTGATGTATGAGTGTGTGCTTAGATTGAGAGTGATTAGGTTTAGAGAGCGGGAGAGGGATCGACGGAGAGAGACAAGGAGGGAGAGAGAGAGTTTACTTCGTACCTCACCATCTCGTATCTTAATCGCACCAATCACGTTATATCGTGTAAATAAAATAATTGCACAGCAAAATTGCTATCGTCTGCTGTGAGTAGAAATTGTATTTTATATTTTCGTCGAATTTTGTCCTCGATAAAATATATTAAGGATATCTTATATATTAAGGAAAGTATATCTCCCCCCTCCCTCCTCCCTTTTCTCGACGCGATGTTTTGTGTCGCCTAACTTGTCTTGCGTGGAACAGCTTCGCGAATTCATCGAATTGATCGCTTGACATCAGATTTCCGGCGAAACTCCACGCATAAATAAATTCAATGTAACGGAATAAATGGATTGAGTCGCGCGTTACAATACGGCCATTGTCCGCGGACTTGGAATAAGTTTGATCGTCCATTATGCATGCTTTTACTTTCCTGTGTCTTATTTTCCACTTTCCGCCTGTGGTAACTTCTTAATAATCATCCATCTTCCGCTTTCGACCCTACGTCATTTCCCTCTGCACACGACGCGCTTTAGTTTCCTGCCCGCCTTTTCCCCTTTCGTCCGAATTTCCCTTATATATACGATGTGAATATATTAAATAAAATCCGGCCAATTTCTCCATTTATTAACATTAACAGAGCACACAACGTGGGCGCACGCGCGCATCCGTCGTTCATAATTTATGGCAGATTAGCAGAATTGAGAAATTATGTTTCATTAACAGAAATACGTTACATTATGTAATACGTTTATAACAGGACAACCTGTTGTCAAAACAAAATTCAGCACTGGGTTACATAAGATTCGATGGAGTACCGTATATTCACCGACTTTCATGTATATTTTTAGGAAATTCGGACGTTCTAAATTTCCGTATCTTCATAACATTATACCAACACAATTGCGTTAGTAAATGTGATAAAAAAATACACACACACACACACACATATATAGATTAAACATTTCGCGCGCTGGATAAAATCGGAAATTATCAGTTTCACATCGAGGGAGCTTATTTTTTCCTGTTCAATTTCGCGATGATGTTTTCATACTTTGATTTTCAGCTTCGTCTGTCTTCTTCTAGAAGTGGTCCATAAGAGCAAAATTATATAATACGCGCGTAAAATATCTGACAGATGAGAATTCAACGAGATTAAACCGCATTGTTTCTCACTTGGGTAACTTTGTGAATTAACCGTTCGCGGATGTGTGTGCAATCGAGTGTAACAAGTGAAATATAGTTTATTTGAAATTGAACTTTGTAACGCAGCGTAGAACGTAAATTTTCTCTTTGTGGCGGGTGTGATTGGCCCGTGGCGATGAAATACTAATTATCGTGAATTCGCGTGTATTTACAGTATTGACAGTGCCCGGATACGACGTCAGGGTGAACAGACAGCCCGTCATGGAAGGATGCAACGCGGTGTTGTCCTGCACTGCTCGTGAAGATGTCAAAGAGCATCTCACCGTAACCTCGTGGTTCCGCGACGAAGCTATCCTTCTACCCGGAAACACAGACACCGGTGAGTTGCGAAATTCGCTACTTCTTTTCTTTCTTTAACGTAAAACACGTGTTTATATATATATATATGTGTGTGTGTGTGTGTGTGTGTGTGTGTGTGTGTGTGTGTGTGTGTGTGTGTGTGTGCATGTGTATCGATGTTAAATCGCATCGAAATTAGCTCTTGCTTGCTCATCGGTAACGCATTCAATATCATTAATTTTCTGTTTTAAATAGTATTGTTTATGTATTGCACGCAACGCGAATCTGCGTCTGCTAATTCCGCCTATTCATGGCAATTCGCCGATTTTATATCGCGTCAGTAACGCGAACGGATATGCGGCTTCCGTGTTGAAATTACGAACATAAACATGTCAGCGCGCATCCGGCTTGATTAAAGCGGACGACGAAAAAGAAAAGCATAACAAGGAATATCATAAAATATGATCACTACGAACGAACGACCGGATGGAAAAGCGCGGATACGAAGCGCAACACGTCATCCATCGCGCGGTGATTTTTACCCGCATAAGGATCACTCGGGGATCGGTTTATCGCGTTTTGCTTAAATTATCAATAAATCTCATGCTTCTCGTAAGAAGCTCGTCGTAAAAAAGGATTAACACAATTACGACCGCTACGCGGAGGCGGACGATAGTATAAAGAGAGAGAGAGAGAGAGAGAGAGAGAGAGAGAGAGAGAGAGAGGGGGGGGGAGGGAACAAAATGTGCTTGGTCTCGCGAATGAACATCCGGCACGCGCGCGCTCGCGCACAGAGATTTGCGCGCGCGCGCGCGCGCACACACGCGCGCATACTCACTCGGACAACACGCGTACGTGCGCTAACTCGGCGGTTTAGATCGTCCTGTACACGCTCAGGCATTCATGTCCCATACATATTTATGCTGCTCGGTTGCACGTAACCGGTAGCGGTGTGCGCGTAACTGTACGTACGCGTGTGCCGTTGGAATATCATGGGAAGCATCGCGTCATGTCGGAGCTTGATACGTTTGTTTCGTAACTAGGCGGGTAACATTGTGCCGTACGAAAGCACCTGCACATCGAGCTGTTCTCTACGTGTCTCTCGATGCCGACGACGATGACGACGAAGCTGTAGGCTGGCGCCTCTACGCCAGCACCGTGCACGGTTATCGCGGACGGGCGCGACGCTGCGCCGCAAGAAGATGCCACTGGGCATCCGTATCCGTATCGTAGGCCAAGACGACGGTATCGGCGACGCGACGACGGGGACGTGACGATATCCGTCAAACGACGCGTCGCGCCAATATCGGCGAGGGCGGAGACAAACGAAACGCCGAGCGCTCCATATAGACCCCGCGTCCGTCGCATTCGTGACGAAACGCAGTCGCGAGGGAGACGCGCGGGATGTAGATCGTTTTCTCTCGCGGGGTGTATTACCGGCTGCATTCAGCTCTCTCTCCCTCTTTCTCTCTCTCTCTCTCTCTCTCTCTCTCTCTTTTCCATTTGCTCCTTCATGAAAAAAGTAACAGACGCCGGCTGACGACTGATGTCACTCGCGAAAGCGGCGCGATGCGAGGGATTAACATTTCAAACGGTGTCTCATCGAGCCGGGTTGTGCACCTTGCAGCTAAGTACTGCGGATGATGATCGTTTCGGTCGCTTGTTTCGTCGCGTCGCGACGATTGGATCGCTGCAAAATGCGATTCTCGCGGATAAGCGGAGATGAGGGGAGGAGAGATGGGCAGAGAGAGAGAAACAGAGAGAGAGAGAGAGAGAGGAGAGAGAGAGAGAGAGAGAGAGAGCGTAACTTTCCACGGGATGAAGAAAGTTAAGAGACATGATGTACTCGTGCTCGCATTGTCTGCTACTGGCTGTCGCGGATATCGCGTTCTGATTCGCAGTCTGACTCGAGAACATGAAATTCCGGTTGTACGTTGCGGAAGAACATGACGCTTCTATCATTGACGCGTTATAACGATATCGAGTCTGCGACGATCGTTCCTGCTAGAACATCAATGACGGAGAGGAGAGACGCTCGAAATCGTGTTCGTATCGAACTCGTCTTCTAGAACTAGTTCTGGCCAGATGTCGTCATTAGCATCGCATTATTCGAAACATGAAATACTCTTCTTGCCGACTCCGACAGTGAAGTGCAGCTCTCGCGAGGGCTAAAACAAGCGCTCGCGACGTTCCATACATGTGTACATACGTGTATATTCCTCTTATCCTTTTCTCCCTCCAATAAATGTCTGCTTTCGAACTTGGAAGTGATGCATTCCACTCATTTAATCAAAATTCATAGAGACGAAACATTGCGGAATAATTAAATTTGCCGTCAAGTACTTAAATTACTTGGCGACCTTTCCCGGGCGGTGGTGTAACGAAAAGCGATGACAGTGTAATGAAAAGTTCATCCCCGGAGCTTATCTCCGGCGGGAATATTTCTTTCATATTAATTACCCTCGAGCAAGAAGCAAGTTGGCGCGCCAAAACTCGTAATGTCCCAGGCGTGATGGAAAAGAATCTCTTTGGCGGGTCAATCCGAAATAGTCAGACGACTTTAGCAAGTCGCTAGAGCAGGCTGCTCGATGGCTGTCCGATGGCTGAGCCAAATTGAAAATTTCACGCTTGATGGTATACGCCCCGTCCGTGATCTAAAGGGGTTTCATCGACAGATGCTGAGGATTTTGCATAACCCTTTGCTCCCTCGCGAATTTGAAGCGCGGGAGAAAATATTGCTGGAACCGCGTGCGCGCGCGCGCGCGTCCAGGGATTTATTATTGATATTTCCCGGCTCCTGAATTCTGAGAAGTCGAATAGTATTTCCGCTCAGTCTGCCGCCCGCGCCATAGAAGAGACTGGAATAAATCTCAAAGTCGAGGGGAACATTTTCCTTAGTTCCGCGCTGCGTTAGTGATGAGAGCGGAAATCTTTATTCGTTTGCTACGTATTCACAGCTGCGCACGCTGAGATTTTCGTAGCTTTAATATCCTGCTGTATGCGCGCGCCTCGTCGAATTCTCGCGCACCCGAGACAGACCCAAGATTTCGCGAAATATTTAATTCAAGAGTGCGTATAGAAAATAGCCGACGTTCGGTAAAATCGAAGAGATCGCCGCAGCTGCGAGGGAAAAAGCTGACGCGTGCGCGCGCGATGTCTGAATCACATCGTCGCACGTCGTGGGATGTTTGGCCAAAAGTCAATTTTGTTAAAATCATTCGTGCTTTACGAGTATGAGTGACGACTGTCCTAGACAGTCGAATATCTGCGGAAAGGGCCGCTGTGCTTTTGTTCATCCGCGATAACACGAAGTGGTTTGTTTAGTCAGAATTTGGACATTCGTATTGCACGCATCAATTCTCAGCGCTTTATAACATACGATCTTCGATCAGAATTTTAAGATTCTTAGAAATGACAGCGCGAAGTCTTTCGTTATGGATTGTTTCGAGGAAGGTGTGAAGAAACTTTTTAGACTACGTTTATTGCAATTGAATTGTTATTCACGTAGTTATACGATTTTCAAAATAGCATTCAATAATGTATCTTTTTGCGTTCTTGATGTGAAACTCGAAGGATTTAGCTTGATAGCTTCAGGGTGTATCCCTGTTACGTTTCTTGGATGAAATGAAAGAGTAAGCTCTCCGGATAAAATATCAGAAAGAATTAGCCGCGGAAAACCGCGGATGTAGTTTTGGTAATTACTTTTGTTTCCCTAAACGTAAATTGGCTTTTGCCCAAAGGTTGTTTAGACATGAAGTTTCCTTTTGTTTCTTTTTGTTCTTTTTTTTATTTCCTTTTGTAGTACAGACATAATCAACAGACTTTTACTAAGTTCTGATCCGTTACTAACAAGCAAATATGAGACCCGTATCAAGAAAGAAACCTAAACCATTTTTAAAAGAAACATTGGATATGTTTTTTCTCACTGATCCCACGCCAGGAAGAGGAGATATTTCGATAGATGAAAGTGATGTTGATTCTGAAGATGGAATGCACTCGATGAAGAAATTTGGAGTTTGTCTAGTTGAATATTTATTGATGTGGAATATTATGCTTTCTTAATTATTAAAATATATATATTTACACTTTATTTCATGAAAAACTTATACGAAATCTTTATAATAATCATGTTTATAATAATTAGTAGCACGTTTTAAACCAAAATTCGTCAAAAAATAATTTTGGCCAACTTTTTGGCAACAAACATCCCAAACTGCGCGTCGACTCGGTCTCGATGTACGCGACTCGACTTTGTTCACAGGCGGAAGATTCGTGGTTACATCGCAGGGTGATCTTCATATTCGGGCCGCCAGACCCGAAGACGGCAGAGCGACGTACTCGTGCCTGACCCTGCATGCCTTAACCAGCGAGCGCAAAAGAAGCGAACCCGCCAGTCTAACAGTCACGGGTAACCGCCAGAATCGGATAAATCCTCCTCGAGATAGCATTTGAAATTGAAACGCCCGTTTTATTTTTATCTCGATTCGCCGCTGTCGACCGGTATTCCGCGACAGTCGGACGAACCATTTTTCGCCCCTACATTCGCATGCGTCTCCCCGAGATTTATAATCCCTGTTTTACTTGGCAGAACCAAGCGGCTCCTCGCCGCCGCGATTGATGCAACGGTCCGAAATCGCTATTTCCGCCGAGAGCGGCTCCGACGTTCACCTCACGTGCTCGGCGCAAGGAAGCCCGCCGCCGCAATTTACCTGGTATCGCGATGTTAATGGTTGGTTTAATTAGGGGAATGTTTACCGAATAAGCTATGTTAACGGTAGCGCCGAACAAACGACCAGTTATGCTCGAGCGTCGATTCCTCGGCATAACGCGGATATCGCTATTATGTTTAAACTGTGTTGTCGTGTAATGAATATTATATCGCGGAGGAGAGAGAAAAAACGGAGAAGACGCTGCATCTCGATTGGGCGACTCTTTATCTTTAATCACAGACAAAGAGAGGCACATCGTCGAGAGAGGATCAAGCGTAAAGATAAATTCGCCCCGTGAGATGTCGAGAATCGTTCAGTACGCCGCGTGTCGAATCGTTTACGGCGCGAATCTCTAACGTTTAATTGCATTATCGGAGTGACATCGCATAGACATGAACGGTACAGGACAGTAACATGCAAATGTCTTGTCGCAGGCCACTCGATGTCGGTCGAATCGCTCGGTCGTATCCAGCTTTGGGGTGATTTAATGCTAATTCGTCGCGTAGACGCGGATGACGCTGGAAGGTACGTTTGCCGAGCCAGCAATCAACTCGGCGAGCAACGAGCGGAGACGCACTTGTCGGTCACTTCAAAGCTAAACGCCCGGATTCAGCCGCGCGTACAGGTATGAACAGAGCCGTCCGATTTGTGCGGACGAACGACAATAGCGGAGCTGCGTTGTGCGGAGAGAAAAGATCCCGCAACGAGGCTTGGAAGCGCAGCGAGTACGCGCGAAGAAAATCTGTGCGCCATTTGGAAAATTATTAGGCTTTCGCTGAAATCATATCCGTATCGTTCAGCGAAAGCTACTTTACCAACGAGCTCGGCTAATTATTAGTTATGAATCAGACATTAAATCCACTTGTGTGTTCAAAATCAATGTTCTAATTTTATCGCGGGAGGGTGCAACGGGGAATCGGGTTAAATGATAATTACCAACATCATCAGTGCAATATTAAATGACTAATGAAACAATTATGGAATTATGCTGCACGGCGATTAAATTGATCAGGTTGGCATCAAACGGAGGAATAATTCGCTAAATGAATATAAGCTTCCAAGATATATTCGTATCACTTGGATTTTTCTCTTTTTCTCTTTTCTATTTTACACCGCACGCACTTACAGAGAGGGAGAGGGAGAGAGAGAGAGAGAGAGAGAGAGAGAGAGAGAGAGAGAGAGAGAGAGAGAGAGAGAGAGAGAGAGAGAGAGAGAGAGAGAGAGAGAGAGAGAGAGAGAGCCGAAGGGGAAACGCAAGCGGAAAAATCGCGCGAGCAAATATCGGCCGAGGATCGGCCTCACTCGAATGCGAGATAGAGATAGATTCGCTTGTCGTCATTCGCAGGTCATTAATTCCGGCAAGACCGCCACGATGAACTGCACGGTCGAGGGATATCCGGTCGAGAGCGTTGAGTGGCTGCACGACGGTATACCAGTATTGACCGCACAGGATACGAGGATCAAATTGTTGGCTCCCTTGGTGCTCGTGATAGGCTCCGTCGGTCGCAGAGACAAAGGGATGTATCAGTGTTTGGTGAGGAGCGACAAGGAAAACGCGCAGGCCACCGCCGAACTCAAACTTGGAGGTCAGCGCGAGCGCATTGTTCGTTTTTTTTTTCCCTTTAGATATCGCTTAACACCCAGCTCTCTCGTTTGCTCTTATCTATCCTCACACCACCGGTTTGCAGAAATCCACGCTCTCCACTGATTTTACCATCCCGAGCTTTCATCTCGGTTCAATTTTGTATTTTCTCCTCCTATTTCTCGTTTTATTACCTCTTGTTCTCCTTCGTGTCGCACGACCTAGATAAACAACGTTAATTTTTACCGAAGCTATTGAAAAGCTGGCTATTACGTGTTTCCTGCCCGTCCTGCCTTCAGAGAGCCTCTGAAAATGAATTTCAGACACGGTTCCGGAACTACAATACACATTTATCGAGCAAGCCCTGCGACCGGGCCCGCCGGTCTCCCTGCGGTGTTCAGCTACGGGTTCACCGACGCCATCCTTCACATGGCTGCTCGACGGCGAACCATTGAGCCAAATTGCGACTGGACACAGGTAGGTCGTACCTAGATTCCGGCAGCGACGTGATATCCAAATGTCTTCTAATCAGTAACTGTACGTGCAGATACGCGATAGGCCAATACGTGGATCAATCCGGTGACGTGATCAGTCACTTAAACATTTCATCGGCGGGAACCGAGGACGGTGGGCTGTACGCTTGTGTTGCGTCCAACACTTTGGCGACCGTCGAGCACAAAGCTAGATTGAACATTTACGGTACGACGAAGCATGCACACGAAGAAAGCAGTTACGCATTAAGCGCGCAAATTTGCGTATAATTTGCATTTCACGCGATAAACGCAAGTGCAATCACGCATCTTGAAAATCAAAATGACTTTTAGGTATGAGAAGGTCGGATAAATCCGGCACAAGCGTGAATTCACGATCCTGCAAAATCAGCGCAAAACTTCGCTGTTAAACAGGAAACGCGCTGAACATAGATTGATAGATTGATTTAATCAGTGTACGTCGGGAATAGCACGCGTTTATATCTTTATAAAGATATAGAAATGCAGAAGTGTCAAAATCAGGCCATGAAGGAGTGCTTAGAACGCGAGCGCCGCGCACGCGAGCGTTAAATCGAAGTCGCTCCGTAATAAGAAGCCCCATTTTTAGGACCTCCGTATATCCGATCGATCGGCCCGGTTCGCGCCATCGCCGGTGCCGACATCACAATAGCGTGTCCCTATTCGGGATATCCGATCACATCGGTCGAGTGGACCCGAGGTGGCGCCGAGTTGCCCTTTGACATCAGGCACCGAGTCGACAACGAGGGCCACCTTACGATCGTCACGGTGGATCCGAACGATGCCGGCACCTACACCTGTATAGTCCGAGCGAGTTCCGGCGAGACCGCCAACAGAGACATACTTCTGACCGTTAACAGTAAGTGAGAATCGAAGGAAGAATCGAGGAAGTTGAACGACGTGGAAGCAATCGAACGAGTAACTGACGAATTAAGACACATCGAGTACACGTCGAGCGTTGCGCGTTTCAAGACACCGAGACTCGCGGGAAAAATGTCGCGGCACTTGAGAGTTCTGCGACGAGACGGAAAGATCGATATAGGAGAGCGCGAAGTTGCGCGAAGAAATGACGACGCTTTTGCCCGTGCGTATTTTCCAGGTCCGCCGGTAATGAGTCCCTTCAGCTTCCCCGCGAATTCGCAAGAAGGCAGTCGAGCTCAAGTGACGTGCAGCGTGACTTCGGGCGATCTACCGATCCATATCTCTTGGTTGAAGGACGGTGAGCCATTGCCCTCCTCCCTGCGCGTAAGTATTGTTAATTAAGCTCCGCGTTTCTATTTTTACGGCGCGCGTTCGATCATTTCCCGCGACATGCGATAATAATGTCAGCTGAGGAAGCAAGACAGCCGTGACACGAGAGCTAACTATATGTATATATAGACGAATTGAAATTTCATTTAAAAAGCTATGCACATATTCTACAAAACGCTGCTTTGACGATCCCCGTATTTTTCCTCGGCGTTCTGCCTCATGGAAACGAAAATACGTATTTTCTAATAATGAAACTCCCGCAGGGGATTTACATTTTCCGTGAATGATGTTACTCACTCAGACAAATTCAGCGGAATGAAATTTTATATGCGATATAGAGTGAGCTCGGTAATCGCGATCTCAAAAATAGCTCACGAGGAAGTACCCCCCCTCCCCTTTCGGCTCTTTTCGCGACTCGAAACTTTGGAATTCCTCACGCAGTTTGGTCTAATTTCGTCGTTCCCGTTTGCAACAATTAGAATAACGTGGTACATTGCCCTTAAGATGCTCAGCACGAATCGTCCTTATTTTGGTCTCCCTGAACGTATTCTTATCGCACAGATCGAAGAGCGAGGCGCCGAGTTTTTCAGCCTGCTCGTCTTCAAGGAACTGTCATCGCGCCACAGCGGCAAGTACACCTGCGTAGCCACCAACAGTGCCGCCAAGGTCAACCATACGGCGGAGCTCTTGGTAAAAGTGCCGCCTCAGTGGATATTTGAGCCGCTGGACGTGGCTACTCTCCTGGGCAATCCGCTGAATGTCCATTGCGAGGCCAAAGGTTTTCCGCCGCCGCGTATCACGTGGCTACGTGCCAGAGGCAGAACGTCCAACGACTATCAGCCACTGGTCGATGGTTCCGATGGTAGACTCACGATATTGCCTAATGGGTCTTTGTGGACGGCTTCCGCCGGCCCGCAGGATGAGGGTTACTATCTATGTCGGGCTAACAATGGAATCGGATCAGGGTTAAGCAAAGTGATATACGTGTCCGTGCACGGTAAGAGTGCGATTAACGTTACAAATTGCAGACTAATTAGCGACGATGAATCTAGTGCGTAAGATGAAACGGAGACTAAATGATCCCAAGTGACGCAGAGAGGAGATGAGAGATCGATTGACCGATCCGATAAACATTGATGATACTTTTATTCTCCGGAATCGTTGTTAACCCTTTCACTGCTGAATTAACTTCCCTTGAGAAAATTATTAAAATATTTGGTAGCCCTACGTTTTTTTTGGGCTCGCTGATTACGAATCTAAAGTCAAATTTGCAAAATTTGAAATGGCGGACTCAATATGGCAATCATGATGTACAAAATTAATGAAAATTCCAATTATTATTGATGGCGTATGTGTTTTTCGGGTCGCTGATTACGAATCTGAAGTCAGATTTGCAAAATTCAAAATGGCGGATTCACTATGGCGACCATAATGTACGAAATTGATAACAATTTCGTTTATTATTGATGATATATGGGTTTTTCGAATCGCTGATTACGAATCTTTTGAGTAAAATAATATTGATAGTATGGATAAGATGGAGATACAGAATGAAAAAACTAAGAAAATACAGCGGAAAAGCGCAAAAAAATCAAATTTCGGCCGTTTTTGTAGAAATATTTGTTTATAAAAAAAATTTAACCTGCAAAAAAATACTGAAAAAAATATAATAATGTTTCTGTACAACATCGGAAAAATATTTGGTGAAAATTTCAGACCTCTACATTCAATACTTTCCGAGGAATAGATTTTTTCCTAAAAGAAAAAAAGTATTTTTTTCAACTTTGAATTGTTATAAATAATCACAAATGAATAATTGGGTATAAAAACCTATTGGAGTATATGTTGAACAACTATTCAGTTATCTGAAAAGCTCAAGTCCCCGGTTAGTTCTTAAAAATTATGTGATTTACAACGCGAAATTAAATCAAGAAAAGGTGGGAAAATATACTTTCCACTAACAGTGAAAGGGTTAAATCAAGAACGACGCATGCGACGTTTTTCTCGTCTAATAATAACAGCGTTTTTCTCTCGCGGACGATTCTCTTTTACGTCGACCATCGGATCGTCGGCATCTCTGATCTCGCGCGGTTCCAGATAACATTAACGTCGGGAAGTTCACGCTAAGGTAGGCCGGGAAAAGACAAGCCAAAAAAAATGTATGATCTCCGTCTGCGCAGAGCCGGCGAGATTCGAGTTCCAGAGTAAGAACGTGACGATCCACCGCGGGGAGTCCGTGACCATCGATTGCACCGTGATCGGCGATAATCCTATAGAGGTGCAATGGATGCACAACAGCGACCGGCTGGACATGAGCAATCATCGATTGAGCATCGGCGAGATCAAGACTGACAACGGTCTGAAGTCCCAACTGTCCATCGCGAACAGCGATCGGCAGGACTCCGGGGTGTACAGGTGCACCGCGAACAACGCTTACGGGAGGAGCGAGCACTTGATTTACTTAGCGGTGCAAGGTGAGCGCGCGTTCTCCTCGCATCTCAGGTTCTTCATCAGCCGGTCTAGTCGATTACGGCGCACCGAGATTATCGCAGGGAGAAAAGTTTGCTCCGCTTCTTACAGAGAGGCCGGATCCGCCAGTCGGACTGGAGGTAATAGAGATTGGCTCTCGATCGATACGCTTGCTGTGGAAGCGATCCTTCGACGGAAATAGCCCCATAAGAAATTACGTGATACAATACCGCTCGCTGAGCCACGGTATGACCGATGATTGGAATCCCGTTAAAACGCACAACGTCACGTACACGCCGGGAAGCTCCAATAGCGGTAATTCTATACATCCAACCCAAAACGGTTCGTCCACACTCGACCGGATCGATATCGCGCGTCTATTCGTGTCCCTCCCCTCTCCCCCCCTCCCTCCCCCTATGTGACTTGTATCAATTTTAGGCTTATCGCCGTTCGAGACCACGGGCGATGACCAAGAGGTGGCTTTGGTCGGCGGTCTTCATCCGGCTGTCACCTATACCTTCAGGATATTCGCCATAAACTCCATCGACGCGAGCGGACCCACGGAGCCCGTGGTGGCGAAGACGCAAGAGGAAGGTAAGTGCGACAATGCGATCGTATGACAGAAACTTCACTGCGTCGTATTGTAATATTACTCGCCTATGTAACAGCGCCCACAGAGCCGCCGCAAAACATCAAAGTGCAATCCGCCGGACCCGGGGAACTCATGGTTAGTTGGCAGGTGAGTGAACGCCGCTAATTTTCAGAAACGCGAGACTCCTTATGATCGATATCAACGATAACAACGTCTTTCGCAAGTGAGTCGCGCTGCGATAACGAGAGAGATTGCGGGAGACGTTGAGGTCATAACATTTGTCGTTCTTCTAAAGTTCTTCTAAATTCTTCAACTAACGATAACGCGAGGATAAACAACAAAACGTTCCATACGTGCGCGTTCCTCAGCCGCCACCGAAGGAATCCTGCAACGGAGATCTGCTGGGCTACATAGTGACGTGGTCGGAGCACTCGTCGTCGACCTCGGGCGTCAATCAGAGCAAGAGCTTGACCGTGAACGGCTGGGCGACGACGAAGGTGCAGCTGACCGGCCTGAGGAAATTCACCAAGTACGACATTTCGATCCGAGCCTTCAACAGCATAGCCAGCGGACCAACTAGCTCTCCTATTGTTGGCACCACTCAAGAAGGAGGTACTTTCATGCGGGATGAGCGCGACGCTGTCCATAAAACAGAAGACACACCTCGATCATTTGGTTGATCTCTTTGCAGTACCGGAAACACCGCCGACTCAAGTGACGTGCTCCCCGTTATCCTCGCAAAGTGTCAAAGTGTCGTGGACCGCACCGCCGCTTCATCAGCACGGTGGAATTATCATAGGATACAAAGTCTACTACAGGCCGGTGCCTACCGATAACAGTGAGTCGCTCGCGATCAGAGCAAGAGCTTTTTGAGGAAGTCCGACATCAACATTCGATTCTGTTTTTTCCCGTTGTAGTGGATATATCGACAGTCGGCGAAGTGAAGAAGACCTCCAGCATGGAAACTTACTTGCACACGTTGTACAAGTACACGAACTATTCCATCAAAGTGCTGGCCTACACGAAAGCGGGCGATGGAGCGTTGAGCCCACCGATCTTCTGCATGACGGAAGAAGATGGTAAGATACTCGATTTAACCTTCGCTCGATAAAAGAAAGACAGGCGCAGAGAGAGAGAAAGAGAGAGAGAGAGAGAGAGAGAGAGAGAGAGAGAGAGAGAGAGAGAGAGAGAGAGAGAGAGAGAGAGAGAGAGAGAGAGAGAGAGAGAGAGAGAGAGAGAGAGAGTCTCGCTCACTCTTTATACATCTTTCGATAAAACTGTGCGCTCTTTTTATAGTTCCTGGCCCTCCCGCTGGCATCAAAGCGCTCGCGTTAACAGCGGAAAGCATATTGGTCTCGTGGTTGCCGCCCTTGCAGCCTAATGGAAATGTTTCAAAGTACACGGTGTACAGCAGGGAAGCCGGTTCTAAGAATTCGAACGCTCACACGATGCACGAACCGCCGTTGTCGTCGACGGATACTCTCACGATGGAGTTACGCGATCTGGTGGAAAGGTACGCGTGATTACTGCGACGTGATAATGAAGCGTTACATCGCGGCCGTTGAATTTCTGTCGTTCGAATCGAACGTTAATCTTTCAGGCAACTGTACGAATTCTGGGTGTCGGCGACGACCAGCGTCGGAGAGGGAGAACAAACCATTATAGTCACGCAGACAACGAATACCAGAGGTGCTTGTGCGGGTCATGTATTCGAGAGAATCCGGATTCCGAGAGGAAATTTTTCCAATTCCAAAATCTAGTTTTGGACGCATTGCACGGCGTTTCGCCGAATAACGTAGTTCTTACACAGCTTACACCTGCGCTTTACATCTCTCTTCGTGTCGTAATCTTGTAATCGAATTTCTATCGTATAATTGTAAGAGCATAGGACTCATTCCGTAGCTCCTGCCAGAGTGGCATCGTTCTCGCAAGTACTGAGAAGAGCCGTGAAGTCGTCGGTCATTCTGTCGTGTCTGGTGGTCGGAAACCCTACGCCGCGACCTATCTGGACGTACAGAAACGGTCAAATCTCCACCGGCAGGCATTACGAGATCACACACGACGGACACCTCAATATACGCGGTAGATAATTTAATTTTACTCCACGCGCGACTTGCAGAACATCGCGTCGTTTTTATATTAATCGCGCGATTAAATGGAAAAGAAAAATCTGATGAAAAATCATCGTCGTACTGACAGTCGTCTCTCCAATCGTGTTCCCTTCAGGACTGGAACAATCGGTTGCGGGGAATTACACTTGCTCCGCCAGCAATCTGTTCGGCGACGATTCCATCACGTACTCGTTGGTCGTCGTAATGCCGCCCAAAGCGCCATCGTTGGAGCTGCAGTACACAACGACCAACAGTATCAGATTTCGATGGAATCATCCGGACAACGGCGGTGCTACTATACAAGGTAATAACGAGGAAGGAAAGGCTAACCACGATGCATTGGATACGTATAACGAGGATTTCTTCGTTCTATCTCAGGATACGTGTTGAGCTACAAGAGGGATCAGGGTGGTTGGGAAGAAATCACCTTGTCCCCCGAGCAGACAGAGTTCGTTCTCTCTGGACTAAAGTGTGGTTCCTCCTACTTGGCGCACCTGACGGCGCATAATCGCGTCGACACTGGTGACCCGAGTCCGCTGATCAGTGCAACAACGAAAGGCACCGGCAAGTAGAACATACATTTCGACTGTCTGGAACTCTCATAGCTCATCAAGCTCATAATGATCACAATCACAAAACCGAAGTCATGATGATGTTTGAATGCCTCTTTATCATAAGTATGATGCCTCTGTGACATGATACTTGCGACAAAGCGGACTTCGCGAAACTCGCCCTACTGCGAAATCAAACTTCTCACCTCGAAGATATAACTCGCGCAATCATTGACTTCTCTTTGAATCTGGTCTAATTTATTAATTCAATAAGACTGGGTTCATTGGACCCAATCTGATTTATCTAATTTATACTCTAATCCGCGTTTCAGCGCCTCTACTGCCTAAGGAGAGAGATATCATCTCGGCGAATGGCACATCGGTGAAACTGAACCTATTGTCTTGGCCTAACGGAGGGTGTCCAATTCAGTATTACACCGTGGAATATCGCCGGCGCATCAGCACGGAACCGTGGATCCTAGTAGCCAGTAGAGCGACCGAGAATCTCATCATCCGCGATTTGAAAACGGCGTCGTGGTACAGTCTACGTTTGACCGCGCACAATGACGCGGGCTCGACACAGACCCAGATGGAGTTCGCTACTACCACGCTGAGCGGAGTCAGTATCGGCCCGCCCAACGACCTGATAATGGAGGACGATGTGAAGAAGGCTGTGCCTAACCACAAAGTTCTATACGTCGTGGTGCCGCTCATCTGCGCGATCGTATTAGTCGTTTCCGCGGTTATCCTAGGATACGTCATGCTCAAACGTAGCGGCAGGTAAAGCACGACGCGATTTCAAGCAATCTCGAGAATGTACTCGAGAATGTCGGATTTGTAGTAATCGTCATTTGTGAACGTCGTTCTTAAAAGAGCGAGTTACCTAGGCGAGATGCTACCGGGACAACAGCAGCAGCAGCAAACGGGATTAGGAATGGTTCAACAGCAACAGCATCAGCAGCAGCATCACCACTTGTCGAGCTGCATGTCTACCGTGCAACTCAAGTCGACCGCTGAACGCGACAACAGACGCAATCATCAGGTTTACACAAGCTCGCCAGTGAAGCAGGAGAACCACAAGACCGCCGATCATGGATCAGGTGGGTGTGCATTGCGGTTTGATGAGATAGTTTTCTCTCATAGATAACATTTCTCAACAGCCGTTTCGTGATCTTTTGCATAACAGAGATGTACGAGATAAGTCCGTATGCCACGTTTAGCGTTCCCGGAAGAGAAAACCGTTCGGTGACGACGGCCACGCTCGATTACACGATGCAGTTCAAGACGTTCGGCCACTTGGAGAACGAGGACATCAATACTATCGACTACGACAGATCTAGCGTGGAGTTCGAGAGGTAATTGGCATCCTCCTGCGTCGCTGCATAACTCTCTCGCTGCGCCTCGACGAAATCCACCTGCCTAACTCGTCCCGCTTTTCGCTTTCCTCCTCTTCTCTTCCTCTTTCTGGTATTCTTTCACACGCAGGTCGAAAACACCAAGGTGGCACAAGCAACGCTACTTTCCGAGTATTGCGGAAGCCGAGAGCAAGCTGCGATCGAGTCGACAGGGCTCCGGGAGCGACACGTCCGGGAGTCCCTGTGGCGAATGCGCCGGGCCTAGTTATAGAGTGCCAGTTAAGCCTTGTAGAGGTATAATTTCTACTCTCATCTCTTTTCTGTAAATCGGTGTGAAAAGTATTACTACTGAAAAGAATCGGCCAAACGAACCGATGCAGATTGATATTACTGATTCGAGTGATATCCGTTGCAGATGTATTTTCGCGAGGTGTGGAATCGAGTACGGAGTCCAACAACGAAGGCTCGCCTTCACTCGCGAGACGACGAAGCCGACAGCCGAGCCGGTCTACTCGCAGGTAGCCAAGGTTTGTTTGTTTCTACATAGCACTCAGTCTTGATTATTCGGTATCAATCTTATCGGTCTTTCACATTGGCGCGAGAAAGAAGTGCAACGATGCGCGAGTACGGTAATTCGAGGTGAATTTCTTTGCGAAACAACAAAAACGTTTACGAAACACTCCGCAAGAGGCACTTCGGAGACGTTAATTGAATTTGTGTCTTTGCACTTGATTCTAAAGCCTACTTGATGCGACAAAGAATACTAAGTAGATGTTTTGACATACGTACTATTATATGTAAAAAATAATCGCATGACCGTTTTTCAATATTCGACATGTTAGTATCTATAATTGAGTTGTTGTAACTGATAAAAAAGATATGTGTGTGTGTGTGTGTGTGGTTACATATGTAAAATACGTAACTACCTGACTTTATACGATATCTTGTCCAAGTGATGTCAAAGTGATACATCGTTGCTTATGAGATATATAAAACTGCAGAAGAAAAAAATCATAAAGTATAATTTTAAGAGATTCTACTATTTATGCACGATTGAATCAAAGTTGCGTTCTGTCGATTCCCTTAATTCAGGCGGCAGCGTCGCGACGAAAGGTCTCGCGATTCGAGCGAGAGGAGACGTGGCGAGACCACCGTCATCGATTACCTATCATACTTTAGCGACCGCCCTTTCTGATTCGGCCGACATATCCTCTAATCTGTTTGGCAGTTCGGTGGAGGACATGACGCTATTGCCGCCAAGCGGGTTCAGCGACAGCCGTGAATTGAGCGACGTGGAGTGCGACCGTGATCGTGATCGCGAACGCGATCGTGAGTGGCAGAGTTTGTCGGCCGGGACCCGTCATGGCGGTAGCCTGGGTAGACTCCCGATCGAGGCCGTCGAATCTATGCTCGCTAGGTATCGACACGAGTCTCCGTAGACCAGGCATGTCAAACACCAAGCTGACTGAGGCCGGTTGACACCGGAGAAGTTTTACGTCTTGCCTGTGTACAGAATGCGCTAGGCGTTGTCGCTGTACGCCACAGAACAAGATCGTAATTGTACGAATAATTCTCAGTAATGATACACAAGCATACGATACGTGTTTAACGGAAGAAAAATTCAGATTTCAATCATCGACACGATTAGGCAAAAGAAAATATATTCAGCAATACGAAGGACGGGGAAAGGTCCTAGAGCATTCTGTATAAGTTTGAAACATCGTCGATCTGTTTGCGAAAAATTACTGCTCGGTTTTACGGCTCTCTCGATCATAAAAAAGAAAGCTCGTTTATAAAGTGATATATGCCTTAGGAACGTTGTTAATTAATAATCCTATCACGTGTCTTTGACAAGAGATCGTTCGTTGCAGATATCAGCAAAGAAAGGAGCAAGAAAGACAAGAGTTCACTATACATGTATGATCGAGATTCGCTGGTTCGACTTGGTATCTTCGCCGGACGATATAACGTTGTTTAGAAAGAGAGACGAGGAGTCGTCTCTCGTTCACCTCGAGATCACCCGTCATTGACGGAAATTTTACGAAATCTTAATGGAGATGGTAGTTTAATGTGTCGTAAGGGACTATTCAACTCTGTTCGCGAGGACAGAGAAAGCGACAGGAGACTCATAGTTCTGTTCGTCAGAGAGGCATGTTAACTACCGATCTGCGTTGTGCAAAAAAATACTGCCGTTATTATACATAAAAAAAAAACATGGCCTTCGTACGTAACCCTGTATGTAATACCGTAAACGAAGCAGCGCGCCGAATGGCGAGAGAAAAGAATGCCAAACCCCTCTCGCTTATCGGCATACACTCACTCGTGCATGCATTCACTCACTCACTCACTCACTCACTCACTCACTTACTCACTCACTCACTCACTCACTCACTCACTCACTCACTCACACACACACACACACACACACACACACACACACACACACACACATACACACACATACACACATAATATATACACTAGCACACGCGATTAATCGAGAAGCAACGGAAAAACACTCGACGACTCTAACTGCGCGTTTTTGATAGCATTTATTCTTTCTATCGCCAAATTACGATTGTATTGTATTATTGTACGAAACGTGATTGCGATAAAGAAAGTCTGATTGACCGATCCATTACTTTCGCGACGACCAATTACTGATATACAGGGTGAACGCCAACTACCGCAACGAGTATCTCCGCTTCACTTACCGCAATTTACTTACTAACGAGCCATTCTATGTGTGAATATAGGAATGACCAATTATCGGGAACGAATATTACATTTTAAAAGATTTTAAGAGCGCCGCAGCGTTCGCGGCGTTACGTGTTACCCTTCGTAAAATAGGTCAATTAATTGAAAGGAAACGAAAGACATATATATCCGATGAAATTCAATTCTCATTCTCGGGCATCGAACATTGATTTCTAAATTTTCGCATATTTCTTTCGATAGTATCGAACAAGAAAAAAAAAATATATATATATATATACATCTCGCGAAAAAAGTGCAATACGATTCGACGATATTGATTTGGAAAATTAACTTTTAATGATCGAGATGGGTTTCTTCTAATAGTGCCAATTCTAACGAAACTGTATAGTATTAAGAACGTTACGAGAAAGATTTGGAACAAGAAGGATGCTCGTGTGTTCCTTCATTCCCAAAAGGAAAAAAGTCGAACGCTCTTAAGCGCTATTATTAAATTAGTATCTACGAGCCGATCATTCGAACGAGAGCGACTAGCGCCTTAATTGTGTAAATAAATCTAAAACGGCTTCTCCCAAGGAATGGCATTTATCGATGTGATCGTAAAATACACTATTGATTATGGGATATCACTTACGTGTGCGCAGAGACAGAATCGTAGTATATCCGCAAACAGGATCGAGAATCGTAGAGCAATCGTAGAGCGATCGATGAGGCTGTAGAGCTTCATCTCATGTCGGGAATCCGGCGCGACGTTTTCTTTTCGAAGATATCCACCGCGACATGAGACTGATGATGTTAACCGAGTACGCTTATGTTGATTTCTGCCAAAGAAAGTAAACGATTAGTCGTTTTGCCGAGGCGACACTTGCGGTTGCACCGAAATGGAGACATGCAACACGCGCGCACGACATTCTTTGTCATCTTTTTTCACCTCTCGCTTTTTTTCCACTTTTAAATAAAGAGAGACAAGACTCGAAAGACTCGCTTAGTATTATCTCACGACTGTTTTGATTAAGGCGTTATTAATGCGGGTAAGTCTCATAGGTATTTTATGGAAATTCACGACATGCGTCTTCTATTACTTTACAGCGAGTTATCGCATAGATGCAATATGTATATAAATGAGATGATCAGAAGGCGATTCTTCGAGATTCGCGGGCACGAACGCACTATTTCGGAGGACGGAAATATATGCGAGAAAATGTGGCAAAATTATTGCGACCGGAATCGTAATATTGTACAAGAAAATAAATGAATTTAAAGGGATCGTATGGAAAATTGCTTCGCGAAATTGGATTTTCTGTCCTTCAAGATTTGAGAAATGGGTTACTCATTGTCGATTCCTCATAATTCATTTATTTCTGGATAAGATCGTTTAAATAATTAGAACAAATACGAAGCGAAATTATAATATGGAGGAAGAGAGAAAGAGAGAGAGAAAGAATACCGTGCGTATGTTTCAATTGCCGCATACTCGCAATCGAAAAAGCGAAGCTGTCCGTTTAACAATCGGAATAAATGCGAAATATATTGCAACTTTAAGGAGTGAAAATGTGTGTAAATGTCTTAATTCATCACGCGAGTGAAAGCGTTAAATGAAGACTGTCTGTTCGATTAATTAGAGAAAATGTGGAACGAAATAAAAATTATATACGACGAAAAACCAGTGAAGACGCCATTTTGAACATTTCGATAATTCTGGAATTTGTATATGCCAAAGGAACGGTCTCCATTGAGACATATGTATACATTCATTGAGACAGAAAAAGAAATAAAAAGAAGAAATATGATATAGTAGAGTTTTGATATAACGCAAATTGTGTAAAGGCGATGAGAGATCGCATCGATTTCTTGGAATTTTTATTCTGTTACTAACTATCTCTTTTCAACCAACCTACCTACCTTCTCCTTTTCTCTTTCTCCCCCTCCCCCCCGATCCATCACGGTATTCTATATGCTAGATTTTCTAAGATTCTTTAAACTATATAAACATAATTGATATAGAGTACGGAAATACCTATTTGCGTGTGAAGCTCGACGATTTGGGACGAAAAGGTAAACATTTTCAAAGGATTTGCAGATAAAACCGACGCTGCGGAGAAGCGAACTCGCCATTTTGAGAGGACCCGCCGTTACGGTAAAATCGTGTTCAAACTCATCTCCTCCCTGAACTTCGACCAATCCGATTCGGTATTTCGAAATGGTGGCGGCTCATAGCGGAGACTTTGGAACTACATTTAGGAGCAATAGCCAAGTTGTTAGACCCGATAAAATATGACTAAAACAGGTTACCTGGTGCCATCTGGAAGTACCAAACATCAATTCATTTGTCGAATATCGTTCATCCTTCTCCAGTTTCTTGACGTCTATTTCAACCAATTTCAACGACGCGCATGGCTGTCATTCCATCGGAGTTCGCTTGGAAGGTTCAGTTATAGAAAATCGCGTTCGGAAGTTGATAAAAGTTTGTCGGCCGATTATTAAAAGCGCATGAGAATCAATTTTCCGTTCGTACAAATCGCACGATCGTACGACGCTGGAACGTGCTGTGAATTTATTATTAATTGTGCCCTTGACGCGTACGGTTGACCGCGCGTGAATTGCCGGAGTAATTTGTGAAATAAACGTGTGCCAGAGTTCAAATATCTCATTATGTGTGCGAAAATGGCCTTTCAACATCAGCCGGGTACTGCGATGGAGTGCCTAAGCGTACGTACTCTTAAACTACGCTATATAATTGATACCACGCATACCTATCGTTGTTAACAAATTTTCTTATTGATTTAATTATAGATACCCATTACATTACACAAGGAAACAGAAATTAACGAGAATGGCGAAGAAGTAATGAAATGTGGTTTCAAAATAGGCGGTGGTATTGATCAAGACTTTACAAAAAGTCCTCAAGGCTATACGGATAATGTAAGAAACGTTATAATAAGCAATAAATATACAGATCTGTTTATATTATTTTAATATAACAAAAGTTTATAAATTTGTATCTCTTTCAGGGTATATATGTGACAGAAGTACATGAAGGATCACCAGCAGCAAAAAGCGGTCTTAGAATGCATGACAAAATCTTACAATGCAATGGATATGATTTTACAATGGTCACTCATAAGAAAGCTGTTTCTTATATAAGAAAACATCCAATATTAAACCTTTTAGTAGCTCGTAAAGGTGTCACCAGTACTTAAGGACATACCAAAAGAAATCCTGTTCTTTGAGAAATATTTATTTCACATATCTTTTTTTAACAAGATTTGCCTATTCAATCTATTTTTTGCCAAATATTATTACAGTAAATGCTAGCAACTTCTATCTAATAATTAACATGAATAGAAGTTAGTTTAGTATGAGATATCATTGAATCATATAATTGAAACAGTTGAAATAGTTTCTCTGTCTTAAAACTATAAGAAGCAAAAGTCACTGCTCTAACATGACTATAAGGATATTATTAGTATCTTTATGAAGAAGTCTAAAAAGAGAGATGCCAAAGCTTAATAAAGTTGCATTAATTTACATATATCTTTGACTATGAAAGCATGAGCTGTTTTTATTTCTCTCTAATAAGGATATTATTTACAAAAATATCCATCAAGTTTGATTTTTTTGGTGCATTTATATATCAATCTATAGTAAGAAAAAAACTGCCGTAGCTTTATAGTCAAAGGCAAATACATAATAGGCAACATCAACTTTTATAACTATAATCTTTAAGTTTAATTGTAGCAGGAAAGGAATTTGGTGGTTTTGTAAAGAAGAGTAGTTGAAAATTTCAAAACTTTCAAAATATTTATGCATCTTGTTCTGGAGAATTATTAAAATATAACATTTGTTAGAAAAATTTTTGTAATATCTACGTATAGTAGTTACTATATAGTTATTTTGATATATATATATATATATATAATACTTATATTTTTATTATTAATACTATTGTGATAAATTGATCTATCCTGTGACTATTTTTTCTATCCAAAATTGAAAACTTGTTGAAAAGTAACAATTAGAACATTCCAAACTATCTCTTTAATACATTTATGATGTGTAACATATTATTTAATATTAATAATCCTCTGATTAAAAATTAAGTTTGTTTGCAAGGTGAAACTGCATATACTCATTCAACATAGTCTCAACTATTAAAAAATATTGGAACATATCTCGTAAAGAGCGATGGAAATAATATATTCATGTATGATTTATTCTAATTTTTATGAATACAAATGAAGATATATTTAATTTATTATACAAATATTATTATATATAAGTTGATCGAATTTTCAAGTATCTTTATTTCAGGATAGGATTAGATAGGGAATATACTAAGAAAATCTTTAGATGTAAAGATTTTCTTAAACATCTCACAGATCAACATCTTGTTATATTGCACTTCTTAAAAATTTTTAGCTAATTTTTAGCTAATAATCATGCTACGAATAGATGATACATTATACACAAAAATATAAAGCAATTTTTGTACTTCGTCTCTTTGTTTTTACCCAAAGGACGAATTTTTCAAATATTTTGTAACTTTTTATACTTATTATAGAGGATATAAACATTTTTTTGTTTCACACATATATTTTAAAGGTATCATGATCACGGAAAAATGGAGAGTTCCTGCATGATTTATGTAAAAATATACACCTCCGAGAAACTGTGTGTTACATATGTATATACCCTAGTCTAATAATGTCAAAAATATTGAAATGTTTCGTACATATATTAGTGTATGCACAATGTATGCATAAAATGTGTGCGGGTTACAAAAAATATCCCTTATACTGTATGAATTGTAGAATACAGTTATGTTATAAAAAAACCAAAGAAATTGTTAAAACTATTCTCATTGTACTTTATTTATCCTAATCTGAAAGCATTCTTTAACTTTCACATGCATAATTATTCATAAACGACAGAAATGGGTTATCTATATTTCATAACAATAAACTTTGCATAAACCATTTAAATTTTATTGCCTTGAACTTGTATGTGATGACAATAGGAGTAACGATACTATTAATTACGTGTCGCTACATTATGTGATGCTTTAAATCAGTGGTGGATTTCCATTTTACTCGTTTTCTAAATCACAATATTATGTTGCATAATTTCTAGTCGCAAAGGAGATACATATTGGATTATCGAATAATGCAGTACGTGTCTTCTTTGCGATTTCTACAAGTTTCTTCTGACTATTCTTACTTCGAACATCTCGTACATATAAATTTTATCAATTCACACGCATCTTATGTTTTTTTCTTTCGGGATGCAATATAATAATGCACTACATATTCCCACATGCCATCTATTCAACTATATTTTAAAACAGCAAATTGAATCCTAGTGATAAATAACCGGTGAATGCGATATTTTTAATTAACTATCTAACAAATATAATTTGTAATATTGTATCAAGTGGCCGGCCATACAATTTCGTTATATACTATTCTAGTAAAAACATGTTTTATGTTTATTCTAAAAATCTCCATTTGAAAAATATGTTGTTTCTTTGCTTGAACTATTGGTTACAATCAGTAATCGTCAAGACCAAATTTGTTAAGAACACGCTGGAAGAATGTTTCTGTTCATCAATATAGCTGATTAATATGTAGAACACTTGATGATCTCACAAATTATATCTTGGCGATTATGGACAATTTTTTATATAAAAGCTTCCTTTTTGCTTATATTTCGATACAATATCATCGATATATGAGCACTTATAACATTGTTCTTACGTTATTCAGTGTAATTGACTATAGTTATTTACAATATTTATATATTATGAATATAATATCCTGCATTTTAGAATTAATCAATTTTTATAACCTTAATTACTTTAATATTCGTCGTTAAATAATTTATGTAAATATTATGCTTATTGATATAATCTTTTAAGCTACCTGAAAATTAACAATAACACATTGAAGTATTATTTTCTTGTCAAAACAGTCATTCATATTTAATGATCATAAATTGTATTCTGTAACAGTATATTGTTATCTCAAAATTAATTTTCTCTTATTTTCATTTATAATTCGTTTCTCCAGTTGTACTAAAAGTATTTTTCGTTAATTTAAACACTTTGGCACACAAATTTTTAAACATATTACATGTGTTTATTAATTTTTAGGCAGCTATTTTCCCTAAGCTTGAAAGCGTCATCACAACGTTTAAACTTAATCTATATATTTTAAGCTATTATTTGTTCTGAGATTCTAATGTAACTTGCTAATTCTTTTGCATGCTACATTAAAAGATTCGTGGAAGTATGCGAAAAATATTCTAAATGTGGCACAGTGTGTTCTATTGATCAATGATGGAATGGAATGTTTTGTTATAATTCTACAAAAATTCGTTTACACATATTCATCTTGTATCATAAGACAAGATACGAGTAAAATGTAATTTCACAAAGGAAGAACATTTTTTCGTTATTTGAATTTTTTTATATAAATATATATATATATGTATGTGTATATAAATTAATATACATTAACTGCAGTTGCATACTTTGCAGTACTATTCGCTTTAGAGCTGGAAATTACAACGTGCTCTTGTTGCAAGATATTCCTGTTTCTTATATTGCAATATAATTTATCAAATGTATAGGATTTCATTTTGAGATCTAGTTTATATATGAAAATAATGTTTAAACAGACAACATTATTATACACTGTATCATTGTTTAACAATTATATGATAACATTGGCTATGCAATTACTGAGGTGAGTATTTTAGGCTTGAGAATTGAATTCCTGCAGCAGTTTAGACTTGGTGATGTGTATGGAAGTTTCCATGTCAAAGAAAGATAAAATATCAAAATGATTAAAATTTGAATCGCACTTTAGTCGCTTTAAATATTATTATGAGATTTATGCTTTCATAGCATATATTTTTTTAAATGTTAATGAATCACACTCATGTTTCCTGCATTTCCACGTTCACATCCATCATTTTTCATCTGGATAAGGACGAACTAGCCTCTGATCGTCCGCTTATTGCAGATTGTAGGCTCATCATCGAACCCCTGAAAAAAAATATCTAGTAAAGATATAGGTACAGAATTACGCTATATGTAAACTTTCTGTAACTATAAATAATTATAACTATAAATAAATGTATTAAATGTAAAAATATATGCAAATTCTCATTCTATATGTGCATTGTGTAAATACCTATAATGCGCAGATGGCAATGTCTCGTAAAAATACATAAGTTGAGCCTTATGAGAACTAATAGAAGGAAGAAATTCAGTTTGGTCTTCTTGATTTTGCCATTGTAATACGTAGGTACCTGCATCTTGCATGATATGAGTTCCCTGTAATATCGAAATGATCATTAATTTCGTAGAGACAATATTCGACTGCAAAATACATACTTGAATACTCTCCCCATCGTGACAAACTACACTGGATTCAACTTTAACAAAATTATCTTTTAGCTCCTTTGCAATCACTATATCATGATCACCACCTACTGCAAGCTCTGAAACTTCTATTGAACAACCAATATTCATCAATATGATGTGTATATAATATATATTATATTGTCATTTTGAATTGTTCGCACATTTCATCAAAGTGCGTTTCATTTTAAAATTGCCTCTTGTGTATAAAGTTACCTGCTATTGCACCATTTCCACTATTTCTCGATTTGTGAAGCACCGTGAAGACAACATTATGACGCATCACGTCAAAGTCCCATGTCAATACTGCGCCTGGATCATCAGATTCAATGAACACGTGATGAGTTTGGCCACGGCTTAAGCTAATGGAATGATATAAACTGTGCTCGTGTTCACCAGTGGTACCCTCCAAGTCTAGTCTGTATAAATTCTTCGGCACTACTCCTCCATCCATTATGTATGTCTAATGTTTAGAAAAAAAAAGACAAAAGTTTTAATTTTATAAGCATACATTATACTTATTTAGTATATAACTACTAAATATTTAAACACATTTTATTGTATAGCAAATTAAATTTCAGATATCTGATATTTTTTATGAAATTTGTACAAAATCTAATTATATAATTTAACTATATATATATATTTGACAATATAATTTTAACCTCCGTTAAAATATTCTGATTAACCTGATTATTAGATATTCTGAAATTCCATTAGCTCTAGCACGCAAAATTACCTAATTTTTCATGTGCATAACGTTACTGTGTATTTTTCATTTAGTGCTTGAATATATATGCGTATGATATGATTGTAGAATCCAAATTGGTTAATAACTGTATCCAAATTTGATGGAATATATAAAATCCCTTCTTAACATCTTATTTTTCATATATATATATATATATATATATATATATAAATGAAAAATTATAATATTATAGATGACTTGCATAATCTGGTTTTGTGTCGAACTAATACGTGGATGATGTATGATAGAGATAAGGACATCACGACACAAATAATATCTACATATCTATCAATTGATGATGTTATGAATGACATAATTTGATAACCAATACTTCTTTGGTATTTCAAATATGATAATATACAATAATGTGCATTTTGAATAAGTATAAAAACGTCACATCGTCTGTGTTTCACTAAAGCCAGTTAGCTGCAGAAAGCAAGTTCTACAACACAAATTTCATATCATTTTCTTACGCTGTTCACGGTTGCGTCGAAAATGTAAAATCTTCGAGGTACCATACTATAGACTTCGCATATATTCATTTCCTAGTATTTAACATGCGATATGTTACTTCAGTATGTATATAAAGATTAAAAACAGCACTATTGTTTTTTCTCAGTATCAAAAGTTTGTGTAAAATGTCTACTTATTGTCAAATAATAATATATTAAGAAAATTTGTATGATTATTCTGACATTAATCACCATTACATGTGGTACATTATTTATTTTTTCGTAAGAAAGAACAATATAAATAAATTAAACTGTATATTAATAATATATAATAAATTTATATATAAGTTAAATGTCCTTTAATGTAAAAATGTCCATATTTTCAATCGCGTATATTAAATATTATATTATAATTATATAATATTATTATTTTTTATAAATATATATAATTATCACTAACTTTGTTTTAGTCTTACCTCTGAGGAACCACCGAGAAAATCAGGAACAAATTCTTGATTGATATATTCACTGAGACCTCCAGACCCCTGTTCTTGATAGTCTGTACCACAATAGAAAATGAACTTTTTCCTGGTGTTCTCGTCTAAAGTTATAATATATATGATTAATATAAGGAAATATTTAACAATTAATTATTATTTAGTTAAATTGGTGTAACTAAAATCCTTACTAATAAAAGTGCTGATAAGTGTCCACAAAATAGGAAAACACCTAGGCGCACGTATAATCAAAACCCTTCCCATTGTTTCTGGATAATTCGCTTCAACAATTTCGATTATTCTCAATAATGCCTAGAATAAATCAGATAAGTTTATATCGTTAGCCTCAATATTATAATTTCATTTATAATGTTATAGCTTTTATAATCTTATAGCTAATGTAAATTACATTTGGAAAATTAATTGTAATTAGATGCAAGCTACTTATTTCATTAAAACTCCCGTACTTTTATTCCGGGTCTCCATAAATGTCGCATATTTAAACCTTCCAAGTCTATTAACAGAGTCCATTGTGAAACTGGATGCCCCCAAACAGTAGTGGCTTCCTCCATCAAATGCAAACCTTCTTCACAGATATGTAGAGCCTGTAACAAGAACATTATTAAATAACTCTAGAATAGTTTTGGATTTTAAAACATTGAAATTGTCTTGCCAGTAATAATAATTCATCCTCCCCAATCGATTTGAGTAGACCTTTAACATCCATTTGACCGAGCCTTAAGATATATAAGGGTCGTCCATCTACATCAAAGGTATATATAAATAGAAGGTATTGTACTATGACGTACATTTTTTAACGTATCGACTTATTATTAATTTTTATAGCCTAGTCTACAGTCTAACATTTGACATTTTCGACAGTCTACTTTTTTTACTATTAAGTAACTACCTTTGTCAAAATGATGCCAGCCACCAGGAAAGTAGTCCTTAGTCACTTGTGGCATTTCATACTCATCCAGGAGTTTATCAATCTGATGCTTTTTCCTCCAATGTAAGGAATGTGTCAACATTTCTCTAGCTTTTTCGACTGAAAATTCTGCGGCACGCAGAAACCGTAGGAGAGTTGCATAACCTGGTACTGAACTTCCCCTTAACTCCTCTATGCTATGTCTGAGTTGGACTAGTTTGCTTTCCTGTAACATGTCTAGTTTACCTAGATATCTCTCTATGTAATCTGAAGACAGTTGCATCTCTGAAATGAAGAATGGAAAGATAAAATAAATTTCTTATTATACACAATCATTATCATACATACCATCATCATGTATATCATATATCACTTACTTCTTACACACATCAATCAATCATTTACTTATTATACATAGTGACTACACTTATGTATAGAATCATATATATGCCAAATGTCGTACCTCTATTGCTGGGCAGTTTACTGTCGACATTACATAATTCTTTGTCACTATATAATTCATTATTTTCATCCATATTTTTCCTATATAAAAAAAGTAACCATTGCAGACCCGAAAATAATTGCTCAATATAATTTGTTAGTATAAATTTAGGTAAAATGTGTTAAATGTTTACTGCTGGAAATTAAAATTATAAGATATTACATTTGCGAAAATTTTAAACATTATTTTACACAAATAACCACTTGTGCTTTTGATGTCTGAAGTGCTTGCGTCCATGATGTCCCTTTATAATTAATATTTCATGGGATTTGTGCAATCAAAATGCATTTAAGTTTTAATATGAAATATCTAAAGACTTACTTTTCTTCCTCAGGTGATTTCTCTTGTGAATCTTTCCATGGAGAGACATAAGTAATGCCTTCTTCCTTTAACTGATTTATGAAGAATTCAATAATTTCCTTACCCTTCAATTAAAACAAAAAGTAATACAAATTATGTTTAATAAAAACAGTTAATATATTATTATATTATCATGATTTTTATTTGCATGACACAAAATATAATATCTTACTTTAGCAATGTTTTGAGCATATTGCTTCATTGCCAATTTTTCCATTGAGTTTTCGAAACCAAAGAAATTTCTGATATCTAAACTTGCTGTTTGTTCAAAGCAAGTCCAGTCTGGATTTTCAGGATGAATCTTAATATGAAACATATTAATTTTATTAATTCTTATGTAACTTAAAGTATATAGAGAATATACAAATTAATATAAAGTTTATTTAATACAGAGAAAATAAAGATATTATAAAAAATCAATAGATCTATATATTATACTTACAAAATATCTACATTTCTCAATAACAGTGACTCTAGAGGAAAAGCTTTCATTGTATGCTTCTATTTCTAAAACATTATTGCGTCTATCTAAAATGTTTCTTTGAATAAAATATACAAAATCTACACCAATTATCTGAAATAAATAATATATTATAAACATGACAAATATTTTAATATATAATGTTATTAGTTATTAATATATAATATAATTGTTTTTATCAGTTTACAAATATATTTGATTTCACATGGAAAGAAAGGAAGATACTATACAATATTTTTTATAAAGTCAAATATGATAAGAAATATTACTCAATATATAGATCTTATAGACAAACCTTCTTTAAGATATAAGGTGCTTCGACATTTAATTTACACCGTCTTTCTGTAGTTCTAACTGCACCATCCTTACTCTCCTCATCTAACATAACTTCACATCCAATAAAAACTGGTATCTGTGGACATGTTGGAAATCTACGCTCATATGCCTAGAAAAAACAAGATTTTATATAATCTCCATTTGCATATGATACTTTGTACACGATACTATGATATGTCTATTATTTATTATTATGCAGTATTACTATATGCAGTAATTACTATAAGCAGTATCTCATGAATAAAAAATTGTTTAAAAATAATTAAATGATTTGCACATTACATGACTCAAAGACAAAGGTATGATATTTAAAAGAATGATGCTGCTTTTCTACTGTTCTACCGTTTTTCTGTATAGTTTAAAACGGGTATTTATGACAAGAATCGGTTATTGGATTAGATGGGATATAGCACGTGTACTGTGAAGGCCACAGGGGATGGAATGTAATGAATATTTTATAACTGCTAAGTTTGAAGGCTGAATAATATAACAAACAGACCATCATGACAAGAGCAAAAGGATGCTTATAAACTCGAACGGGCGATTGGTATTGTTGAACCATGTCTGTCGATCCTTTTTACACGATTTAGTATATTAGATACGCACTGATTACGCTTGTAGGCTATGGTAATTCGATCACGATATATACACTGCAAACATCACAACTAATCAATTGGCAGACGGAACTCGCGACTTTTCTTCAATTAAAGTATAGAAAGCACTGTCACTGTTCAGTGACGACTAGATAGAGCAGAAGTTTGAGGATGTAGTGCACTTTTTTACAGCATTCAGTGCCATCTCGTGAACGCGATGTTGCAACTGAATTACACGCGTTGTATAGAAGTTTGCTCTTTTCAGCTGAACATTTTGTATTATAAATGTACTGTTTACAGATTACATTAATATTTTCATAAATACGCCAACCAATCTGTATGCAATTAAATATAATAAAACTAAATTGAAAAGTATTTAATCTATATTCGAGTGTTTCATCAAATTCATTTTGATTTTTAAGATATTAATGATTAAAGTTGAACTTCGGAAATCGGAGCTCACCAAGAAAGTTTGAATTTTAACTAAAGCTTACGGTACACGGTGTTTGTTTCTGTGCTGAATTTGATAAAGTTTAGTTATACTAAATATGCTAAGTTTTAATTGGTACATTTCTAATGTTACCAAATCTTACTAAATCTAGTATAAAAACAAAACACCGCGTGTCGCTGGCTTAAATGGTTGATAATTGATAATGGTTCGTCGGTGACCATGTCTTCCAGTTTAAAAAGATCTTCGAAGAAGAACAGATTAGATTTCATTGTCATCAAGATGCACTTACCGATTATGCCATTATCGGCAACTACTGTATTTAGCTCAGAAATATAACGACTTGTCGTTGGCTGTTTTCATACGCGGTATAGTATGGTACGGTCGCGGACATAAAGGTTATCACTTTTTTTTTTAATGACTTTCGGGACGCATTCTGACTCGAGAAAGTGAGAGCTGCTGCTCCGCCTGCGGAGCACGCTTGCGCAGTAACTCACAACGAAAGGCAAGAAATGAAATATACGTGGTATGACATAAGTATGTCAACAATCATTGCGTTCAGCGGAGAAAACCGCTCAGTGAGCGATTAGTGACTATTGGTCCTTACTGTTAGATCCTTACATTCAGACCAATAACGTTGACGAATTATTCAACAGTTGCTCAACTGTTGAGTGTCGTGAACGCACCCAATTCTTACATTTTGAAAAATCAGTAGCGGAGGGATAGATACATAGCGCAAGTCACTCAAATGGGAATGCATCTTTTGCAAGGTATTGAACAGCTATGTATATTAAATTTTAAGTGAAATCGTATTTATTTAGTCACTAATCGCTCACTGAGCGGTTTTCTCCGCTGAACGCAATGATTGTTGACATACTTATGTCATACCACGTATATTTCATTTCTCGCCTTTCGTTGAGTTACTGCGCAGGCGTGCTCCGCAGGCGGAGCAGCAGCCCTCATCTCTTTCTCGAGTCGGGATGAGTCCCGAAAGTCATTAAAAAAAAAGTGACAATTTTTATGTCCGCGACCGTACATCTCATGCAGATGACAGTGCACGTTGCATTTTGGACTTATTTCTAGCCAATGCAATTAGAATAGATAAAAATATGAAACTAAAATATTGCTTTGAGAAATTGGTAATTATCCAGTTTAGGGGCTCCGCCTTAGAATTCGATAAAAACAGACTCAATCAATGCGTTTTTTAATAAGGAGCAACTTTTTCCTCTGCGAAAATTGTCGCTCTTCATTGCGAAACGAAATAAAAATAGTTAAAGTTGACTGGTATAATAGGTTAGGAAACCTGTCAAGATTCCGGATGGGTTCGCAACTTTCCACGCGCAACGAGGACGGGGTGGGTGCGGGAGGGAGGGGCCGAAGGCCCCCCTCGCGCCCCCCGTGTGTGTGTGTGTGTATATATGTTTGAGACATTTTTATTTATTAAACCAACGAATATTGTACACTCATTAATTTAGTAAAGCAGAAAATTTTAGTACAATTTTAATAAGGTAAATATCTTTCATTAAATGTCATTAACTTATCAGTTTCGTCATAAAAAAAGTTATTAACAATTAAAGATCGTAACTATCGATTCCATATTTATTTTTAATTTTTTAAATTTATCTTATTAAAATTGTACTAAAATTTTCTGCTTTACTAAATTAATGAGTGTACAATATTCGTTGGTTTAGTTGAGGGGGTCCTGGATCTTTGTGTCTTTGTTGGATCTTTTGGAATTTAGTAATAATAATAATAATAATAATAATAATAATAATAATAATAATAATCTTTTCTGTATTCATTAATTTTAGTATATTATAGACTCATCTATTTAGTAAGGTGAAGATTTAATAAATATATTAATTTATCGTTGAACTCTAAATGACACATAAGTACAGAGAGAAGTGTTGATTTTAAATTAGCGCACTTTTTACATGCGCACGCAACCACAGAGCATGCGCACGTAACCACAGAGTATACTCATGTCGCTACCTTTAGTCTGTATGACAGGTTTCCTAACCTATTATACCAGTCAACTTTAACTATTTTTATTTCGTTTCGCAGTAGAGAGCAACAATTTTCGCGGAGGAAAAAGTTGCTCCTTATTAAAAAACGCGTTGATTGAGTCTATTTTTATCGAATTCTAAGGCGGAACCCCTAAACTGGATAATTACCTAATTTTGGTAAGTATATTTCCAGAAACCTCCATGGGTATTTCTTTGAGCGACTTCGATCAGTTTCAACAATATCGGCAGACTATTCACCATATGGGTAAACTTGTATTCAATAAGTAATATATAAATGTCTAGTTAAAAGAAATCAATCTAAATTATTTAGAAGTGATACAGTTACTTTCTTAAACATATCTAATTTTATGCAATTACTCTTAGGTTTTTCAAACCATGGCTTTTCAATGATACGATATTTAACTTAACATCACTGAGTACTACACAATCAAAGTATTTGAATATCTTGCATTCATTTACTGAGAAAGTGAGTATGTTTATGTAGACGTTATTACATTATTTGGACATTTAAAAAAACATTCTTGCAAATATATAAATAAAAATTATCGATTTGTTAAAATATTAATTAAGAAATATTTTTAGAAGCGTTGAAATAAATAACATTGGAATTATATTTTTCTTTATCTTTGTAGATTTTTGTAGTTTGTTGTTCTTTGTTGTTGTTGACTTTGTAGATTATTGCAAATAGAAAACATTATCATGAAGAAACCGGAGGACGATATTTGAAGTACTTTGAAAATAACACAGAAACAGAAAATGAAGAAGTAATAGGGAGTATGTTTCCTATATAAAATAACTGTATGTCATGAAATTCATTTGCACAGATAACGTATTTTATGTTTATTTAAGTGAAAGAGAAACGAATGGCCATGTTGGACATTTTGCTAGCAGAATCTCTCAACGGTAATTTGACTGATTCAGATATCAGAGAAGAAATTGACACTTTCGTGTTGGAGGTAAACATTTTGTAAAATTGTTCAAGAATATAGCTGTATTTCTGTTTAATATATGTTGTAAGCTAATACTTTTAATAGTAATTATGATACAACGAGATGCATATTAAATGGCGATTATTGGAAACTATAAGTAAGAAGTATTTTTTCGGACTGTTCTTTATCTGCGTGCTTTCTGCAGCATATAATTATTATTATTCACGTATGCAATGATTAATTGTACGGAAAGAAATTCTTATCATTACAGGGTCATGACACTGTGGCGACAAGTTTATGTTTTAGTCTACTATTATTAGCTGAACATAAGGATATTCAGGTACTTTTCCCATCTTAAAATAATCTCGCAACAAACTTATTGCAATAACGTCAACCAATGATAAATTGCCAATATATATACGATTATTTAAACTTGTCTTATATATTAATTTTATATATTTTATAAATATTTATAAATCAGTTTTATCAAATAATTGAAGGGAATTTTAAGTTTGTTAAAGATCGTCTCGGTAAATTTCTTAGTATTTCTCTCTCTATGTTTCTTTCTCTCTCGATCTTTTTAATTATGAAGACTGTTTTAGAAATTATAAATATTCTGGAAACATATAAACAATTCCGATTTAACAATCAATATAGACGCAAAGATGTGTATTGTATAAACTTTTGTTTGCAGGATCGTGTAAGAGATGAAATTAATGAGGTGATGCAGGAAAATAATGGGAAGCTTACGATGAATGCGTTACAGAATCTACCATATTTGGAGAGATGCTTAAAAGAATCATTAAGATTATATCCCAGCGTTAATTTTATATCGCGCATTTGCATCACTGATTTAAAATTACGTGAGTAATTAATGGATCTATATGCCATAAAATTTATATACAGATATATTTGTGATTTAAATTTTTCCTCGCTGTTTGTAAAAAAAAGACTTTAGTATATTCACTGATATTTTCAGAATCATATATAATACAAAAGGTACAACGATGCATCTTTTTATCTATACCCTTCATCACAATCCTAACTTTTGGCTGAATCCAGAAGTCTGATCCAGACAGATTTTTACCAGAGAATATACAGAAACGTCATCCTTATTCCTATGTACCGTTCAGCGCAGGGTTACGAAATTGCATAGGTAATTCATAAGATACTATATTTCTACATCGCAAATAAATTCTAATGGTATTAAAATCTTTAGGTCAACGATTTGCCACGTTGGAGTTGAAGGCTATGATAGCTAGCCTGGTGTCAAGAGGCACACCATGCCTATTATACGAGTTGAAATGAGGTGAGATTTTCATATCTCAGCAATGGCCGAACCGATCGAGGTTTTTTTATACCCAATCGATTCGGCCTTCAAAAATAGGAAGAAAAGTGTTCTTGTGCTTTTTGTGTACATTGTATCTAAGTGGAGATATTTTAAGATAAATTCTGAATCACGGAAAATTTCGATTCAGTAAGAAACGTCAGACGCAAAGGAGTGGGGCAAAACGTGCACATTGCTTTCCCGACACCAGGGGCGCTACGAGAGCGCTGAAGAGCAGACAGCAGCGAATGCAAGCAAGCGAGCAAGCGAGGGAGAGTGAGAGAGAGGTGCTTTTTGATTGTCTAGAGAGATGGCTCTTCAATCTTTTTATAACGTAGTATACATACATTAACCTATTTCTTCCCAATGTTGCGTATACGCAACACGAAGTGTTTAATTAATTACTGACGTCAGTAATTATTTTTTTTCACGAAGTGTTACATTGTGATAATAAGTTCATTTTGACTGCATTTTGTGAAGTTAAACTTCGTGTTGCGTATACGCAACATTGGGAAGAAATAGTGGGTTAAGTACGCAACATCGGTACATCGTCATCAGTGGGATATGTATTATAGTGATTGATTAGGATTTTTTTGATTAAACATCAGTGATTAATTAAGAATATTATATTATATATATACATACATGAAGTGTCATCATCATCAGTGGGATATATTAGTGATTGATTAGGATATTTTCTGATTAAACATCAGTGATTGATTAAGAAGTAAATATGATGATTAACAAAAATGATTATTAACAAAAACATGCAAGAAAGTTTACGAATTTGCGCAGAAAGAAGCTTCGGACATTCCTGCTATAGAAAATCTCAAGGACTTCACACCGCCGCGAAAAAAGAAAAAAGCATCGGTTGTGGTCTATGCATTGCCGGAAGTTACAAGTTAAGAAGAACTCGGATATGTTAAATACTATCCCCTCATCTTGCCTCTAATTCGTACGTTTCATTTGAATGAATAGGTGCTAATCACGTGCACAATTTTGCACCTTGTAATCATTCCGGCTGTCAGTGTGATAATTCATGCCCATGTATACAAGCACAAATCTTCTGCGAGAAGTTTTATCAGTGCAGCAACGAATGCCAGAACAGATTTCCTGAGTGTAGGTGTAAGGCGCAATGCAATACAAAGCAGTGTCCTTGTTATCTGGCTGTCAGGGAATGTGATCTGGATCTTTGCCAAACATATGGTGCAGATCATTTCCAAATCAATTCTAAATCTTGAAAAAATGTCAGCGTGCAACATGGTCTTTATAATTTGAGATATACTTTATTACAATTTGCAAGATCAGCAGCAAAGAATGAATTCATCTCAGAATATTGTGGCGAAATTATCAGTCAAGACGAAGCTGACTGGAGGGGAAAAGTATATGATAAATATATGTGTAGTAATTTTAACAATGGTAAGTAGAGATAGATATAGTGGTTAATTAAATGTTGAAAAATAATAAAAATTAAAAGTTTTTGGTAGGTTTCAAATTTTGTTGTATATGTATATATATTATATGGATTTTTACACGTATAAATGGTGCATCAAGTGAATTCTTCAGAGGGCCGTACACAGATCGATCAAGCGGTTGGAGTCTATGAGAGCAGTGGGGAGGGAAAGATAGTAAGACAATGCCATTTTTCTTGCAAAAGTCCAGTGCGTTGATATGAATATGTGATGAGTGGTTATTGAGCACAAGTAACACTTTATGTGAAGGAGATACAATTGTATGTTTTTTGAAGTGTTCCAGGAAATGTATAAATGTTTTATCCTGCATCCAGCCAGAGGGGTTTACCGTTCCAGCAGATCCTACTGGTCCATCCCTGATAAAATGATCTTGGTAACGCACTCGCGGGAAGACGAAGAATGGAGGAATTACATTCCCAATGACATTAGCCGCAAAGGCTAATGTGACTAATGTACCCCTTTCTGCTGAAGTTACTGACCCTACTTGACGAGCACCACGTCTAGCTACCACTCTGTCTGGCTTTTGGACTGTCGTTATGCCTGTTTCATCAGTATTATATATATCTTGTGGCTCAAACTTATAACGGTCCATGACAATGGTCAAATTGTCGTAGAAAGCATCTACGTTGCTTTTGTTAAAGCTAGTAGCCCTTGAAAGGCTTGTAGCTTGCGCTGCACGTACAGACAGTTCATGGTTTCTTTTCATAAACATCTGAAACCATTCTTCACCAGCCATCTCGTTGTCATCCCAAGTTCGAGGTCGTGATAAGTTATACTTGATTGTTAGTTCGTATGCCAATTTTCTTACGTCCTTCTTAGATAGGCCGAAATATATATCTGCACATCGAATCAAATATTTAGAAAGCTCTCGCTCTTGCTCTTCATTAAAAACACGGTTGTGAGCTTTATATCCCATGTCTTGATTTTCTTCGTTGCCGGATGCATCTCGCTTTCGTATATATCTTAGAAGCGAACAGTGGTTCACTCCATGTTTCTCTGCCGCCTTTCGCAAAGAATCTCCTGCTTTTACCTCCTCATAGGCGTCTTTGTATCTCGATAAATCAACCTGCCCCCTCGAAGTCTTTCTTGCACGTACTCTCGGCATCTATAAAACTAGGAAATTAAATAAATATATTGTTTCAACCGTCCCCACAAAAAATGTTTCAACCGTCCCCATCCCCACCATTGAGTACAAAACAGTTCCTATGATCGGTGACAATAATTTCAAATTAAAACTAATCACGCTACCATATTCTACAAGCTTTGTTTCAAACAGAAAAAAATAATCAATACTCTTACTTTAATAAAAGCCATAATAATTACAAAAATCTTTGAACAAAAATACTTACTTTTGCTTATTAAAACACAATAGGGCCTCCTATAAACAACTGTTGCTCTCTGTGAGCGACGCAACACTGAACTTCGTGTTCGAACTTGCTGTCCGCTTCGTTCGCCCCTTGTACACCTCACTTTACCGCACACGGTTCGAAAGATATTAACTCTGTTTCAACCGTCCTTTGTTTCAACCGTACCCAGTCTACCCTAGTAATCGGACGGAGCCAAGTCTGGTGAGTAAGCCGCATGCGAAAGTATTGGGTGTGTGAATATGACTCCGCCCTTTTTTGTTAAAATAAAACACATTTGCTTGTTTAGAAAATTAAAGAAAAGTTTATTGAAAGTATGCTCCATCTGCAGCTACAACCTTCGCCCATTTTCCAGGCCCATCTTTTAATTTATGTATTCCTTGCCTGAAGAAGTCCTGGTCTTTTGAGCTGATCCAATTATCAAGCCAAATTTTGATACTTTCGTATGAAGTGAACTGTTCTCCCGTAAAATCTGACTGCATTGTCCGGAATAAGTAGTAATCTGAAGGAGCTATGTCTGGCGAATATGGCGGGTGGAGTAATACTTCCCAGTCCTGTCCATCTAAATATCTTTTGATTTTAAGTAGCAGTGAGAACAACTGATTTTAAGTAGCAGTGAAAACAATTGATTTTAAGTAGCCGGTTGATCCTGGATAACACCAAATGCATGAAATTTCGAAATTTGAACGGCCGCCATTTTTAATGGGGGTGGGAGTCGTAGCGACTTAAAATTTTAAAGGTGTGTTTGTTATGAAAAGACCTTTCAAATGAGCACCCATTCGACCCTTAGTCCAATTTAAAATTTTCAACCCCCTTTTACCCGCTCGTACCAGGGGGTGGGGAATGATCGGTATCTATGTCATAGGGTAGCTTTTTTGAAAAATCAAAATACGTGTTTTTTGGTATTTTCATTTTTTCAAAAATTATTTAAGGGAATTTTGCTTATATATATATATATATCTATATGTATATACTTAGGATACATTCAGATTATTCGTGATCATATTTGCGGGAAAATTGCAGCGCTGGCTATGAGAACAGTCGTAAATTATTTTTCTGTTCTGCATTATTATATTTATCGGAAGACCTAACCGCATATATTAAAAATTTTTCTGCAAAGTTTTCGTATTGTTTCAGGTTTCCTACCTGAATTTTGAGTTATTAGAAATGATTTGTAAATTTTTCCTCATTGGAGCATCCAGAGTTTCAGTGCATACAAGCTGCAAAACTTTTGTATTAGATAAATATTACGCTAACCGTCAATTCGAAATTTTAATTGAAAAATTTTTTATCGCTTTCGTCATATATTGTGTGATGCTCCAATTAATTTTTGTACGTACTTTCATCGTGTAAAAGCATATTTAATTCTGAAGCATTTAAGACGACGTAAACTTTGCAGAAAAAATATCAAATTTTGACATTTCGCTGATAAAGTTTTCGCGTTCAGCATCCCCTTAAAAAGATTAATAACACGGAATAATAACACATTTTTAAATATCTTTCTTCTCTTGACTTTCTTCCCTACATGTGTTGGAAGGAAAACATTCCATGATGAACTCACAGCTGTTATGCTAGGCCTCTGGCAGGTTATATTTCTTGATAAATAGTGCAGACAAAGCGTCTTGCAACATGTGTTGTGTATCTGAGACACATAATTTCCAACTATAAGATAAAAAGGAATATACTTGAATGTATATCTAGGAACTAAAAATCGTTTTATTATGTATTGAAGAGTTACCATGCTTGTCGCTTGTCCACATTATATTTTATTTGAAATGAGTCATACCAAATTTCTCTCATTTCCTTATTCAAGTACAGCAACAATTGTCTTATTATATTCCATTGAACATAATTGACTGGAAATTAATTAAACATAGAGTTTTATATTAATGTTTTGCTTTTCTTATATACCGGATGTATCGGACCATGCGTCCATCTTGATATTCTTGTAAATACGACATTTTAGAAAAAATATTTCAGAGAAAAGTAGTTTGGTTTCAAGAGAAGCATAACATAACTATACCAGTTTGTTAACTGATGGCGCCACTTTCTAGATATTCACTGATCATTACTTTTCTTAAATGGAAATCCCAACTTTTTATTATATCTTTTCTTATCAATTAATTTAAACAATTTTTGTCTGAAACTTTTTTTTATTTGCCTAATATTTTTTGAGATACTTAAATGAAATTTAGTAACTTTTTCGACATTTAACTTACGATATCTTGTTAACTGTTTATTGAAAGAAAAAACGGTATTAGACTTTTATACTCTATTTGGTCTCAAGAATGTATTGTTACAATAGAGCTTTGATTTTTGACCAATTTGATAATTTTAAAATTTCCAGTAATCAATAAGTTAGACTTTGATCGATAGGATATTAATAAAACAAATGACTCATCATTTACAATGTACAAGTGTTATCTTTATGCGCGCATGCGTATGTACATATACAGCAGTAGCTATATGCTACTCTTTGTACAACTATTTTAATAAAAAATAGCGCGTAATGTTTCGTTTTATTAAAACTACTAATATTTATCTCATATATCTTTATACTTTCTTTTTTTCTTTTATGCGTCTTAGGTATTTATTTTATTCTAGTGAGTATCTGACTGATTGTAATTAATAATGGTACTAATTTATGTAATATTATAATATATTATAATTTATATAATATTATAGATATTATTGTATATGTGTGCATTATATTTTTGTCCTACGAAAAATAATAAATGTATTAAAAATATTATGGATATATTATAAAATATAATAATACATAATATTATAAAAGAAAAGTTGGCACTGCGAGGACTTGAATATTCCTCGCACGTAGACCACAAACTATTGTAGTAGCGCGCGCCTTAGCTTCCGCAGTTACCGCACCTCACGCTTATTGGTTCCAAGTTACAACACTTAACATGTAGTTGTTTCTTTAATTGCAAATTTCTCGCAAACGGAGGCCCATGCACGTAAACCCTTATAGGGTTTTTATATACTCAACCCCCCTATCCGAATGAAATATGACTCATTCAATTATCGATTTTACATGTCTTGCCATCTCCTTGTTAGTAAAAACATAAGTCGAAAAATCAACTTTCCCAGGACTATAAACATTTTCCAAATTTAAACATCGAATTTATACAATTGAAGTATACAAGTAACGCAAGTCATTGTAGGTAAAAAGTATTATTTACAGAATTGAGTGTTAACATTTTCAAGATTGGACTTGGGTTTTAAACTAAAATCTTATCGTATTAAATTACTGACTTTGATTGATAGGATATTGATAAAACAAATGACTCATCATTTACAATGTATAAGTGCCATCTATATGCGCGCATGCGTATGTACATATACAGCAGTAGGTATATGCTATTTTTTGTACAACTACTTTAATAAAAAATAGCGCGTAATATTTCGTTTTATTAAAACTACTAATATTTATCTCATATTTCTTTATACTTCCTTTTTTTCTTTTATGTATCTTAGGTATTTATTTTATTCTGGTGAGTATCTGACTGATTGTAATTAATAATGGTACTAATATTGATATAAGTAGTGACTACAATGTTGGTGTGTAATTTACATATATATAGGAGTAAGCTTGAAATAATTTAAGTCCTACTCCACACACTTATGTGGATAGTTGTGTGTAGAACTCACAGTTCAGTTATTATACATCATTTTAGCAAAGTGTGAAGTCTTCAGACACGATACATATTGAATGTCTGTTGAAATTTCGATCGCTGTAAGCATACATACATACGTACTCGTATATGTATATATATACATTTGTGTATATCATTACGGACATGTTTTTTATAAAACGGTATTTCGTTTTTTATAGTATATATTTTATATTTTTAAAGTATAGCGTGTAAAGATAAAAAAAGACCAAGTCTTAAAGCAGTTATCATTTTGACGAATAATGATCATCACGATATTATTAACATGCCTTTTTCTCGTGATCACGTATCTTTGTGTCGCGCACTTTGGAAGAAATGGACGACTTATTGATCAAATACCAGGATCTATATGTTTTCCTACTCCATATGTTATACAAATTTGTTCATATTCGCCAGGTAAGTAAAAATTTGTATGGTTTTATGTAATAAGCTATAGATTGTTCGTCGATGCTTAATACACAATAAAAAATGAAATCTGTATTTGTAGTTAAAATTGCGTAACAGCTTATAGCAAGATGTAAGATATTAATTCTGATTTAATTGCATAGTAGGTTGTTGAAAAGAATAGTACGATTGAAAAAAAGGTAGAAAATCTAATTATAGTATTCTTTACATTTTAGAACAACTATGGCTCTTAGCACTCGATTACGCGAAGAGATTTTATCCAATTAGTAAATTTTGGGTTTTAACGATTCCTAACGTTCTCATTTATCACCCGGACGACGTGCAGGTTGGTAAAACAATTGTTACGGAAAATAGATACATTTTATTATCTACACAGCGTTTTCATTAACGTTAATCGAAGCCAATGTTCGCAGCTTTTACTCAAAATCGTACACATATTTCCCATAACACATTCTATCTATGTTAATAAGTATTGTATAATTGGATAATGACAACACGATTTTTAATCCTTTTTCTTTTATGGTTTTAGAAAGTACTAAGCGGTATGGAGCATACTGTGAAAGGTTACGAGTACAAACTTCTTCATCCTTGGTTAGGTGATGGCCTTCTTACTAGTCAAGGTATTTTTGTCATGCGTAATTTTCATGCAGAACAGTATCATTGCCTTTGATAGTTTTTGAAGAAAAAAATTACGATATAATAGAGTTCTAAGAAGCTAAATATAGTACGTTAAGCGCTAGCGATTATCAAAGCAAATACGCTTAATGTAAACTTATCGCGACATAAGTTGAATAAATGTTATCTTTCGTTACATGTGCTACATGGTAACACAATAAAGAATAATATTTATGCACGCGTATAATATTATCTTATCTCTTTCTTAGGAGCCAAGTGGCATAAAAGACGAAAGATACTAACGCCTGCATTTCACTTTTCTGTATTGAAAGAATTTGTCAAAACTTTTATTGAAGAGGGTGATCGCGCAGTGAAGTCTTTTAATCCTGCAGAAGAGTCAATTATCGAAGACGTGATGTTATTTACCAGTCATCATACATTAAATGCAATATGTGGTATATATATGTATATTTTGCCTTTTTTACGAAAATTTACGTCTTTTTCGCGTGAACTTTTTATTATTTTTATCAATTTCTTAAATTGGCATGTTTTAATGTGTAACGAATTGTTTCCAGTCTTAAAGGACCCCCCCGGTATGTTTCTTTTGAAAAAGTAATCTTGGTTAAATTATTCTGTTCTAGAATATGTCGTAATTTTCCTAATTTTGAACAAATCTATGTCACAACTCCATATTATTACAACTCCATTATCATAACTGCGTAAAATCAAAGAATCAAACATGCAGTTATGACGACATAGAATCTGAATGTCGATTATGTTTCTTTCAAACAACCTGATATTTTCTTCTGTGTGTAATGTATACATATGCGCATATATTCGTAAATGTTGAATAACTGCACGCGCGGGCAATGACCGAAGGTTATTTTACATAACAAACACAAACGGAGTTCTTTATTGCACTCTATGTCTTTTTATATTCTACTAGTTTCAAATGAAAGACGGTGAATGCCATCCATGTAACAGTATCAAATTATTGTAGTGAAACTAGTATGACCAATAAGTTTTTCATGTGATTTCGGCAAGTATATTTCCAGAAACGTCTATGGGCATTTTTTTGAATGACTCTGATCAGTCTCAACAATATCGGCAGACTATTCACCATATGGGTAAACTTATGTTCAATAGGTAATATATAAATGTCTAGTTAAAAGAAATCAATCTAAATTATTTAGAAGTAATACAGTTACTTTCTTAAACACATCTAATTTTATGTAATTACTCTTAGGTTTTTGAAACCATGGCTTTTCAATGATACGATATTTAACTTAACATCACTGAGTACTACACAATCAAAGTATTTGAATATCTTGCATTCATTTACTGAGAAAGTGAGTATGTTTATGTAGACGTTATTACATTATTTGGACATTTAAGAAAACATTCTTCTTGCAAATATATAAATAAAAATTATCAATTTGTTAATAAATCAATTAAGAAATACTTTTAGTAGCATTGAAATAAATAACGTTGGTATTATATTTTTCTTTGTCTTTGTAGATTATCGCAAATAGAAAACGTTATCATGAAGAAACCAGAGAACGATATTTGAAGTACTTTGAAAACAACACAGAAATAGAAGACAAAGAAATAACAGGGAGTATGTTTCGTCTATAAAATATTGTACGTCATGTGATGCACAGATAACGTATTTTATGTTTATTTAAGATAAAAAGAAACGAATGGCCATGTTGGACATTTTGCTAGCAGAATCTCGCAACGGTAATTTGATTGATTCAGATATCAGAGAAGAAATTGACACTTTCGTATTCGAGGTAAACGTTAGTGTTTTGTTAAATTGTTCAAGAATGTAGCTGTATTTTTGTTTAATATATGTTGTAAGCTAATAATTTTAATAGTAATTATGATATGATACAATGAGATGCATATTAAACGGCGATTATTGGAAACTATAAGTGCGAAGCATTTTTTCGGACTGCTCTTTATCTGCGTGCTTTCTGCAGCGTATAATTATTATTGTTCACGTATACAATAATTAACTGTACGGAAAGAAATTCTTATCATTACAGGGTCATGACACTGTGGCGACAAGTTTATGTTTTAGTCTACTATTATTAGCTGAGCATAAGGATATTCAGGTACATTTTCCCCTCCTGAAATAATCTTGCAACAAACTCTTTGCAATAACGTCGACCAATGATGAATTGCCAATATATATACGATTATTTAAACTTGTATTATATATTTAATTTATATATTTTATAAATACCCATATATTTTGTAAATCAGTTTTTATCAAATAATTGAAGGAAATTTTAAGTTTATACAAATCGTCTCGGTAAATTTCTCAGTATTTCTCTCTCTCTCTCTCTCTCTCTCTCTCGATCTTTTTAATTAAATAACATTGTTTTAGAAATTATAAATATTCTAGAAACATATGGACAATAGCGATTTGACAATCAATATGGCCGCAAACGATGTATATTGTATAAACTTTTGTTTGCAGGATCGTGTAAGAAATGAAATTAATGAGGTGATGCAGGAAAATAATGGGAAGCTTACAATGAACGCGTTACAGAATCTACCGTATTTGGACAGATGCTTAAAAGAATCATTAAGATTATATCCTAGTGTTTTTTTTATATCGCGCGTTTGCACCACTGGTTTAAAATTACGTGAGTAATTAAAGGATCTGTATGTTATAAAATTTATGTACAGATAAATTTATGTACAGATATATTTGTGATTTAAATTTTTTCTCGCTGTTCGTACAAAAATACTTTAGCATATTCATTGATAATTCCAGAATCATATATAATACCGAAAAACACAACGGTGCATCTTTTTATCTATGCTCTTCATCACGATCCCAACTTTTGGCCGAATCCGGAGGTATTTGATCCAGACAGATTTTTACCAGAAAATATACAGAAACGTCATCCTTATTCCTATGTACCGTTCAGTGCAGGATTACGAAATTGTATAGGTAATTCATAAGATACTATATTCTACATCACAAATAAATTCTAAATGTCTTAAAATCGTTAGGTCAACGATTTGCCATGTTGGAGTTGAAAGCTATAATAGCTAGCCTGATGTACAATTTTTACTTGGAACCCATTGATTATTTGAAGGATGTTTCACTCAAAGTAGATATTATATTACGTGCCTCACGTCCGATCCGCATGAAAGTTATTCCAATTAAACGGGAGTAGTTGCCTAACGCGAGTACTAATTCGGAGGAAAGAGTATTTCGCGAACGAAACATTATGTTACTCTTATAAGGTTAATTAGATTTTGTGGTGGTTTAGTTAGTTCATTTAGTTCATTAGTTCATTTAGTTCATTAGTTCATTTAGTTAGTTCATTTAGGTTAGTTCATTTAGTTAGTTCATTTAGTTCATTAGTTCATTAGTTCATTTTGGTGTTCATCGAATGTTATTACATGGGGATATTTCATCTCATAAGTAATAATTAAAATGGAATAAAAAATATTTTCTTTTTCGAAGAATGGAAGCGTAAGTGCATATTGTGCGATTTTTTTCAATATTACTACAGTCACACATTAAGTTACTGTTAAAACGATTAATTTCTCAGGTCTATTGTTGATATCGGGGAGAATAGGAACTGCCTCCTGCAAAGTACCGTGAATGCATCCACAGTTTAAAGGGGCATATGTACCTAACAGAGTTAAAAATCGAGTTTTCGTTTGGTACATCTTAAAGCTTCATATGTGGAGAATATTTTCTTTAAATTTTAAGTCGATATTGCAATGACGATTGCATGTGACGAAGTTACAGGTCTGAGAGTTTAAATCTTGCACAAGCGGGCGCTACTTAGGCAGCGTGGTCTGATTGCCTGTCCCATGTATTATTCTTCTCGAATTTATAATATTTCTCGGTATATCTGCACGAAGCCTATTTGAGTCACATATTTTCAGGTTGTAAACTCATAACCCCCCACCCTGTATATATATCTATATGTATATACTAGGTTGTTACAGATGAAATAGCCGTTTTTCAAAATTCAAATTTCCCGAGTAGTTCAGCTCTTTTCATGCAGTTGTCGTTGCATGCGTGATATTTGAAAAGTATATGCCCCACACGTAAATTCGCACGCATAACCTTACTTTTATCACATTGTTTATATCGTTGAAAATCGCTGTCTTTTCGACATGGAAAGTAAGGAAATGCGGATAATATTCTTGTACGAATATAAACTTGGTCATAGTGCGGCCGAGGCAACGCGAAACATAAACACTGCTTTTGGGGAAGGTTTTGTAAGTGATCGAACCATTAGACATTGGTTTGAAAAGGTTTCGGTCTGGTGATACAAATCTCGACAATTTGCCTCGCGGCCATGCACTATCAGTGATTGATGACAATGTTTTGAAAGACATGGTTGAAGCAAACTCGCGTTTATCAGTTCGAGATATTGCACACAGCATCAACGTTCATTATTCCACTGTTTCCCGACACCTAAAGGCCATGAAGAAAGTGAAAAAGCTTGACAAATGGGTACCATATGAACTGACTGAGTGAGACAAGCTTCGCCGTATGGAAATCAGCCCATCTTTGCTTTCCCGACACAATAATGAAGGAATATTGAATCGAAGAGTAACGTGTGATGAAAAGTGGGTTCTTTATGACAATCGTCGACGTTCTGCCCAGTGGTTAGATGCTGATTAAGCTCCGAAACACATGCCGAAACCGAACCTTCATACACGTAAAGTTATGGTATCTGTATGGTGGTGGTCTGCCAAGGGTATTGTACATTTTTCGTTTTTGAGAAAGGGTGAAATTATAAATCCTGACAAATATTGTGAAGAAATTCATATTGTGATGGAAAAACTGCGTATTCAACAGCCGGCGTTATTAAATAGATGCGATATGTTATTGCTCCATGATAATGCTAGACCGCATATTGCAAAAGAAACTGTAAAAACATTAACAGAATACAAATGCGAAGTTATTCCTCACCCTACTTATTCTCCTGACCTTTCTCCAACTGATTACCATTTGTTTAAGCATCTGGATAACTTTTTAAGTGAAAAGGTATTTCAAACAGAAAGCAACGTGAAAAATGCGTTCAACGAATTTCTTGCATCTCGCTCTTCTAATTTCTACGTGAAAGGCATTGATGCGCTTGTATCACGTTGGAGAAAGCGTATTGAGGTGGGGGGAGATTATTTCGATTGACGAGATGTATATAAAGTGTGTCGAATAAAAATTTAAATTAAAAATTAAAAAATGGCTATTTCATCTGCAACAACCTAATACTTAGGATACATTCGGATTACTCGTTATCATATTTGCGGGAAAATTGCAGCGCTGGCTATGAGAACAGTCGTAAACTATTTTTCTGCTCTGCATTATCATATTTATCGGAAGACCTAACCGCATATATTAAAAATTTTTCTGCAAAGTTTTCGTATCGTTTCAGGTTTCCTACCTAAATTTTGAGTTGTTAGAAATGATTTGTAAATTTTTCCTCATTGGAGCATCCAGAGTTTCAGTGCATACAAGCTGCAAAACTTTTGTATTAGATAAATATTACGCTAACTGTCAATTCGAAATTTTAATTGAAAAATTTTTTATCGCTTTCGTCACATATTGAGTGATGCTTCAATTAATTTTTGTACGTACTTTCATCGTGTAAAAGCATATTTAATTCTGAAGCATTTAAGATGACGTAAACTTTGCAGAAAAAATATCAAATTTTGACATTTCGCTGTTGATAAAGTTTTCGCGTTCAGCATCCCCTTAAAAAGATTAATAACACGGAATAATAACACATTTTTAAATATCTTTCTTCTCTTGACTTTCTTCCCTACATGTGTTGGAAGGAAAACATTCCATGATGAACTCACAGCTGTTATGCTATCTGGCAGGTTATATTTCTTGATAAATAGTGCAGACAAAGCGTCTTGCAACATGTGTTGTGTATCTGAGACACATAATTTCCAACTATAAGATAAAAAGAAATATACTTGAATGTATATCTAGGAACTAAAAATCGTTTTATTATGTATTGAAGAGTTACCGTGGTTGTCGCTTGTCCACATTATATTTTATTTGAAATGAGTCATACCAAATTTCTCTCATTTCCTTATTCAAGTACAGCAACAATTGTCTTATTATATTCCATTGAACATAGTTGACTGGAAATTAATTAAACATTATATTAATGTTTTGCTTTTCTTATATACCGGATGTATTGGACCATGCGTCCATCTTGATATTCTTGTAAATACGACATTTTAGAAAAAAATATTTCAGAGAAAAGTTGTTTGGTTTCAAGAGAAACATAAAACAACTATATCAGATTGTTAACAGATGGCGCCACTTTCTAGATATTCACTGATCATTACTTTTCTTAAATGGAAATCCCAACTTTTTATTATATCATCTTTTCTTATCAATTAATTTAAACAATTTTTGTCTGAAACTTTTTTTTATTTGCCTAATATTTTTTGAGATATTTAAAGAAAATTTGGTAACTTTTTCGACATTTAACTTACGATATCTTGTTAACTGTTTATTGAAAGAAAAAACGGTATTAGACTTTTATACTCTATTTGGTCTCAAGAATATATTGTTACAATAGAGCTTTGATTTTTGACCAATTTGATAATTTTAAAATTTCCAGTAATCAATAAGTTAGACTTTGATTGATAGGATATTAATAAAACAAATGACTCATCATTTACAATGTACAAGTGTCATCTTTATGCGCGCATGCGTATGTACATATACAGCAGTAGCTATATGCTACTCCTTGTACAACTACTTTAATAAAAAATAGCGCGTAATGTTTCATTTTATTAAAACTACTAATATTTATCTCATATTTCTTTACGTTTTCTTTTTTTCTTTTATGTATTTTAGGTATTTATTTTATTCTAGTGAGTATCTGACTGATTGTAATTAATAATGGTACTAATTTATGTAATATTATAATATATTATAATATAATATTAGAGATATTATTGTATATGTGTGCATTATATTTTTGTCCTACGAAAAATAAAAAATATATTAAAAATATTATGGAAATATTATAAAATATAATAATACATAATATTATAAAAGAAAAGTTGGCACTGCGAGGACTTGAATATTCCTCGCACGTAGACCACAAACTAGTAGCGCGCGCCTTAGCTTCCGCAGTTACCGCACCTCACGCTTATTGGTTCCAAGTTACAACACTTAACATGTAGTTGTTTCTTTAATTGCAAATTTCTCGCAAACGAAGGCCCATGCACGTAAACCCTTATAGGGTTTTTATATACTCAACCCCCCCATCCGAATGAAATATGACTCATTCAATTATCGATTTTACATGTCTTGCCATCTCCTTGTTAGTAAAAACATAAGTCGAAAAATCAACTTTCCCAGGACTATAAACATTTTCCAAATTTAAACATCGAATTTATACAATCGAAGTATACAAGTAACGCAAGTCATTGTAGGTAAAAAGTATTATTTACAGAATTGAGTGTTAACGTCTTCAAGATTGGACTTGGGTTTTAAACTAAAATCTTGTCGTATTAAATTACTGACTTTGATTGATAGGATATTGATAAAACAAATGACTCATCATTTACAATGTACAAGTGCCATCTATATGCGCGCATGCGTATGTACATATACAGCAGTAGGTATATGCTATTCTTTGTACAACTACTTTAATAAAAAATAGCGCGTAATATTTCGTTTTATTAAAACTACTAATATTTATCTCATATTTCTTTATACTTTCTTTTTTTCTTTTATGTATCTTAGGTATTTATTTTATTCTAGTGAGTATCTGACTGATTGTAATTAATAATGGTACTAATATTGATATAAGTAGTGACTACAATCTTGGTGCGTAATTTACATATATATAGGAGTAAGCTTGAAATAATTTAAGTCCTACTCCACACACTTATGTGGATAGTTGTGTGTAGAACTCACAGTTCAGTTATTATACATCAGTTTTTAGCAAAGTGTGAAGTCTTCAGACACGATACATATTGAATGTCTGTTGAAATTTCGCTGTAAGCATACATACATACGTACTCGTATATGTATATATATACATTTGTGTATATCATTACGGACATGTTTTTTATAAAACGGTATTTCGTTTTTTATAGTATATATTTTATATTTTTAAAGTATAGCGTGTAAAGATAAAAAAAGACCAAGTCTTAAAGCAGTTATCATTTTGACGAATAATGATCATCACGATATTATTAACATGCCTTTTTCTCGTGATCACGTATCTTTGTGTCGCGCACTTTGGAAGAAATGGACGACTTATTGATCAAATACCAGGATCTATATGTTTTCCTACTCCATATGTTATACGAATTTGTTCATATTCGCCAGGTAAGTAAAAATTTGTATGGTTTTATGTAATAAGCTATAGATTGTTCGTCGATGCTTAATACACAATAAAAAATGAAATCTGTATTTGTAGTTAAAATTGCGTAACAGCTTATAGCAAGATGTAAGATATTAATTCTGATTTAATTGCATAGTAGGTTGTTGAAAAGAATAGTACGATTGAAAAAAAGGTAGAAAATCTAATT